TATAGCAAAGGCACTCTCGCCTGAATTAGAAAAATCTGAAAATATCTCCAAACGAAAATATTTCAAAATTTCCCTATTGTGAAAATTTCTAATTTTGACTGTGCCAGAAAAAATTATTCAAACATAGTAATAAAAAAAAGAATCATTCTTTATTAATAATATTTAAAAATCATTAAAATAATCTCAAAACTAATTTCATCCCTCGAAAAGTTTAATCCCTGGCCATGAGCTTGACTTTATATTTAAAAAAAGTCCTTTAAATATTTCTAGAATTTTCTATTGACATACTTGTATATTAATTTATAAAGTGAAAAAAAAATTATTTAATTCATATAATTGATTATACTTGACTATTATCAAATATTTATTTGTATCAAATAATTATTATTATTTAAGATATATTTGTTTCAAGTACAAAAATTATTGGTTCAAATACAGTGTAGTTTATTAATACAATTATTTTGTTTCAAAAATTATGTGGTTCAAGTAAATATTTATTTATTTTCAAGTATAACTGATTATTTGAATTAAATATATTTTCTTCAGTATATAAATAATCTATACATTATTTTCTTATCTATTTTTCTAAACTTGGAGATAAAAAAAATATATGTACCTGAAGTTCTGAACTTTCAAATGAACTTATTGTTTACTAATTAATTTCAACTTTTTATTATAAAATTCTCCTTTCTGTATATCAAAAAATAAATTACTAATTTATTAAATGTATTCTAATTTTTTATATAGAAAAATGAATAATCAAGGTAAAACTATCACTAAACATATCCTAAAATTTAGTTTACCGTAAGGTCCCTTTCATCGTATCAGGGCATTGTTTAATCTTATTTTTCATTTCTGTACTAATTTTAAATAAAAATCTATAGGCTAAAAAAAATTATATATAGGCATATGAAAAAATTGCTTTTAGTTAAAAAAAAAAAAAAAGATTTATAAATTAATTGGATTTTTTTTCTAAAAAAAAAGAATATTTTAAAAAAAAATGTATATATGGATAAAAATTGGAAAATTTCCTAAAAAAAAAAGAAACTCGGACATCCTGATGTGGGTAGTAGGAACCAAAACCGATAAGTTATTCTGGTCGAATTGCCATAGTGTCTGGAATTTTGAACTAGAGTGAGCCACTGTACAGAGGAAGATGTTGCTGAGAAAAAAGAGAGAAAGAGAAACGAAGTTGAGGAGAAAAGCTCGAACAGAAGGGAGCAATCTCAAATTACTTGGTGGGCTTTAGCCAGAACGGCGGGCATGTTTGCCCACACTACCGTCCGGCGACCTTTTATAGACAGAGTTCGGTAGTGGGGCAAGTTAGAAGGCACTGAAAATCTCATGAAAACTATGATTTTGACACTTAAAACAATTCTTCTATCTCTATTCTCTCTAAAAGAAAAAAAAAAAAAAAAAAAAAAAAGTTGATGATAGCAATTTTAAAACATATAAGCTTCAATCTATCCTTGTAACACATAACTAACAATATTTAACTTGTAAATTTTTAATTATATTCCATACAAACACGTTATTTTCAGATATCATAAAATAAATGTTTAAATTCTAAATCTTTTCAAACAAATATAAAGTTAAAATAAACAAAAGTTTTAAAAAAAAAAAAACGTTTTATTTTTCGAAAATCAAAATTTTTCTTTGTATTTAGTGAATAATAATAATAATAATAATAATAATAATACAAATAATAATTAAATATTTAATTAATGAATAAAAGTAAATTTTCAAAACACCAATTTTTCAACTGCTAACGAAATTTAATTTGATGAATAAAAATTTACTATAATCTATAATGATTCAAGAAAAGGTAATTTAAATTTAAAAAAGAATGATCCTAAATTCTTTTTAAAAATACCAAATTGTTTTCCAACATAAGACAAGATGCACGACGTTCACTTCATTCAACGTTCTATCGTTCACGGTACCTGCGACGGCAACTACAAGAATGCCTGGCGTTACAACGGAGGTCAAGCGCATTACATATAACCAAATGCATAAAGGATAAAATTTAATTTAATTTTAAATATATAAAATAATTGAACTTCAATTAAATTTACCCAAAACGAAAATTAATTTAAGTGCAAAATTTTGGATTTTCATGAACAAAAATATTGTTCATAAGAGGTCGATTGTCAAGAAATAATAATAATTATAATAATAATAATAATAATTCCACTATTTTGTGGCTTTACATCCAGAAAAATATTATATTTGTCTCACAGACTAATAAATATTTATATTTGATTCAAATAAATTTTTATTCAATTTAAATAAAAAATTTTATTTACGTCAAATAAATGGGCTAGTACACTGAAAAAAAAAAATTTATTTGACTCAAATACTCGATTACTTGACTAATTATCAAATAAATATTTACTTGAACCAAATAATTTTTATTTGAATTAAATAAATTGTATTTGAACCAATAACTTTTGTATTTGAACTAATAATTTTTGTATTTGAAACAAATACCATTTAATTGTCTCAAATAATAATTATTATTTGATACAAATAAATATTTATTTGATAATAGTCAAGTAATTGAGTATTTGAAACAAAAATTTTTTTTCAGTGTAGGTTGTGAGACAAATATACGTTTATTTAAGTCAAATATATTATATTTGGTTCAAATAAAACATTTCTGTAGGTGTAAGATCAGGTGTTTTTAAAAGAATAATAATAATAATAATAATAATAATAATTTGTGTTAAAATAATTTGTTGGAAATTTTAAAAGGGTTTTTCAACATGTAGAAAGGAAATTCAATTGATTATTTATGCCTAAATGAAAAAGAAACAGCAAATGTTTCTTTTTAAGAGTAAGGATGAAATCATCATTCAGGAGAACATATAGACCTGCAGGCAGCCTATATATACAGAAGCATATGGCTTAGCTAAGACATAAATCAGTAGTACAAAATACCTTCTACGAAACGCTACGACCATATATATACAATTTTACATGAATAAATAATTTTTAAAACATGTAAAATCAATTTCCATCATTAGTTTTATTATTTTTCATTCTACACGCGAAAATACACCAAATTTCACCTCTCTAGGTAAAAATGGCTGAATTCTTGAAAAAGGAGGGAAAAATAAATCGCTATATACAGACAAAAAAATTAAAGCATGCGGTCTGTATTCATTATACAAGGACGGAGAATTTTGATCGTGACAACGTCTTTTTTAATTTTTTTTTAATTAAATAACACAAAAATCATGAAAATATGACTTATAGTTTTCGAATTCTGGCCGTCGAGATGAACACCAATTTTTCCCTCTAAACCTCGGTGTAAGACGTTGTCACGTTAAAAAAAAAAAAAAAATACAACTAAATTTTTTGTAATAAAATTTTTCCAATAAATTAAAATATTTACCTTAATGACGAATTTTCAGCTTCAATGATATATTCTTTCAAACTAAATAGCCCTCGGAGATCCCTACTTTCAAGTTAAATTTTCCATTCAGAAAATGTGAAAAATAACCGTAAAAATAGACCGAGTTCTAAAAAGTCTGCAACTTGAGAATCCTGTGTCCTTCAAGATACCCTTTTTTTTTACTTTCGCCCTTATCTTTGAAGTTCGTGACACCATAAGCCATCGAGGATAGTATCTGCAAAAAAGAAAAATTAAAATACTTTCAGCGCTGTACATTATAGTCAGTAGTTAAATATTTAACCGATCGGTAATATAGAAAGTTATAGAAAATTTCATTTCCAAATTTGACAAAAATAAGTGTGGCATTGAGACTAAACCTATAAAGTAATCGCGAATATTAATAAATTCAAATAGAAAATTATTTGCTTCAAGTAAATATTTATTTGACAATAGTCAAGTAATCGAGTATTTGAATCAAATAAATTTTTTTTCAGTGTACAGTTTTAGAAAAAAAATTATTTTCACTAAAATTTGTTGTTAAATAACCAGTTAATAAACATTTTGTGTTTTCTTTTCTTAAAAGTTAGTGATCAGACAGTTTAGAATTTATACTTTGAACCCGGAAAAAAGTTTTTGTTGATTTAAAGAATAATCTGTTTCTTTGATTTCATTCAAAATATCAGTATCTTGAAAATAAAAATAGACGTTTTTGATTAAAAGAAAGTTACTTTGGAGTTAAATAAATTTTTTTTTCTATCAAAAAAAAAATTTGTCCTTTAAAACAAAGAAATTTTTACATTAGAATTAAAGAAATAAATTCTTTAATTTTTAGACTGACTTTGCACTCAGAGAAATGGTATATTTGTCTCCGAGCCTACTAACTCATTTATTTGTTGCAAATATATTTTATATCATTGAAATAAAAAATTTATTTGAGCCAAAGAAAAATTTATTTCTGACAAATAAAATTTTTATTTACGCCAAATAAATAAGTTAGTAGGCTCTGAGACAAATATACGTTTATTTAATTCAAATATATTTTATTTGGTTCAAATAAATCATTTCCCTGGGTGTGAAACGAAGATAATTTTTTTTTGGAATCAAAGAAATTTGTGCTTTAAAATAAAGAAAATTTCTTTAAATCAACAAAAACTTTTTTCTCATTGTCAAAATAGTAAATATTACTATTATTATTCCACTTTTCTCCGGGTAAATCTTAGTGATTAAAAAAAAAGGTTTTAGTTTTTTAAACATATTAAATCCATAAATGCCAAATTTTTGAGCAACGTCCTTGCAACAATCATATAAAAAGTAAAAAAAATTGGATCTATATGTAACAAGTGTGAAGAAAATCATTGAAACACCAACGCATTATCAACAAAAACGACGTGTCAAATCTCTGATATAAACTATTTCGCAATGGCAGTAACGCACTTCGTTTTGGGGAAAATAAAGCGACCGCCCTCACACATGTTAATTTTCCAATGATTGGCGAATAGTGGGATTCTAATTCCCCCCCACCTCCACCTCCAACCAAAAAAAAACATAATCATAGCGTGCGCGCATGCGTCTATCGTCATTTTGACGGATTCACAGGATGGTTGATGCGCCATACGAACGACGACGAGTCGCGCACTACGAGTAGGGCGCTGGTCGGCTCCGAACCCCACGAAGAAGTCACAACGAAAAAAGAATATATACAATTTTAAATCCCCCAAAAAAAGAAACTAAAAAAAAACGAATCATCCCGCAGTTTATTCATTGATTTATACGCGAGTATCTGAAAAGAACGGAGTGTTTTGTTTTCTTTTATTTTTTGGGAACTCAATTTTAAAAAAAAAAAAGAAAAACTATTCTCGCCCCCCTGATAGTGCGAGTCTAATAAAAATTAACCAAGAGGGAATAAAAAAAGAGAAAAATAAAACTTCAACTTGAAGAAAAGAAAAATCTCGTTGAAGAATGTCGGCTTCTGCTGTTGCAAAAACCTCCAAATATTCATACCGCTCGAGCAGTGGTGGCGGAGCGGCCGATGTTAGCATTGAGTATAGCGCCGACCTGAGCGCTCTCTCCAGGCTCGAGGTACGTTTTTTTCTCTCTCTCTCATCCTTCCTTTTTTTTCCCCCATAAATAAAAAAAACAATTTTTTTTTCTAATATTCCTTAATTCCACTAACACTCGAATTTTGTGCGGGTAAAAAAATTTAACAGAAAGCAAAAAAAATAAAATAACAGACAAAAAAAAAATTCATCAGAGAAAAAAGAAGTCCCTGACAAAAAATATGTGGAATCATCATCGATATTAAGAAAAGACTCATCGAGAAATGAAAAGAAAAAAAAAGTTTCGAAATTGGTGATAGTTTTTGCGAAATATGTGAACATTGTCGATAAAGAAAAAGTGAAGCACACAAAAGTTCAGTGACCATTAAGAAACGTTAGTGCCAAATATACGGACCAAAGTGTATATAACGAGAGAGTTCTGTATAGTCACTAAATAGCTCGATACGAAAATAGTCCTGGATAACGGGCGTTTAAAGATCATCGTTCGGATCGTGTCTATCTGTGGCGGGATCGATCAAAAAAAAAAAAAAAAAATCTGTTCAGTGCTCAGTGCAAATTTAATAATTGTATAACGATAAATGTTATCTTGAAACAAAAATATGGATACTAATAAAACTAACAATTACCATACATGATTGTTTATAGCTACCGTCACGTATTTCAAAAATACATAAAAGTAGTCTTAAAAAAAAAATGCATTTCTTTATCAAAAAAAAATTCATTAACTATTTACAAAACAAATTAAATAAACCATTTTTTTCGATAATTCTTCAATTTTCAAATTAAAAATTTTCCAATTTTCTTCAATACACAGAAAATTAAAAGGCAATTAAAATAAGCTGCAACGCTTATTATTTTAATCCATTTTGGTATTAAAATAAGCAAAATTGGATTAAAATAATAGCTTATTTTAATGCCTTTTAATTTTCTGTGTACATAATACTTCTTTTTAATCGAATAACATTAAGAAATAAATATAAATATAACTTAAAAATGACTATTTCTTATAATTTAAAAATATATTTTATGATTTATATTTTACTTTTATTTAATTTAAATTTTTTTTTTTTTTACCTAATGATTGATAACAATTTGGATATAATAGAGAAAAAATAGTTTAATTAAAAAGTATAAATTAGCACGCACGGAAAAAAATCTTTATCTGGAACAGCAATATGTTTCTCTAAAATGGCAAACACTTTCGCTATTTAAGCGGAACATTTTGCTATTCCAGTGAAACTTATCGCTTTTCGAGAAGAAAATTTTTTTCCATGTAAAATATGATTAATATAATTAAATCAAAAATCAAAATTTTTCAATAAACATAATAATAATAATAATAATAATTTTTAATCATGTTATCAATATTGTTCGATGCTCTCTAAATTTGAATTAGTAAATTTTTTTTAACTAATTTGAATTAATAACTTGCCTTTTGCTTTCAAATTCGTTAAATTTTACTAAAATAGTAAAAAAAAAAAAAAATTTAACTAATAATTAGTTAAATTTTACTAATTCAAAAGCAAAAAGTGAGTTACTAATTCAAAATGGTAAAAATTTTTCTAAATGCATATTTAGAAAATAAATGACAAAAAAAATGAGGAAATAAATTTTATTTTAAGTTAAAAACTCGGTTATAAAATTTAAAAAAATCGAATGATCCATTTATTACACAATTTTTTCATTTAACTAAAAACTACTTTCTAGAGAAATATAAAAAAAAATATAAAATTTTTTAACTAATTTGAATTAGTGATACACTTTTTCCTTTTGAATTAGTAAAATTTAACTAACTAATAGTAAAAAAATAGTAAAATTTGAGCAATTCGATATTACTAATTTTACTAATTCCATAGTAAAAAAATTTTCAAATATATTTTTTTTATATTTTTTTTTTTTTACTATTATTCAGTTGAATTTTATTAATTCAAAAGCAAAAACTGAGTCACTAATTTAAATTAGTTAAAAAAAATTTACTAAATAAAATTTAGAGAGTAGAAAGTAAAAATATTAATTGAAGAAAAAAAAATTAAAGATTTAGAAAAGTTGTTGAAATTTTCAAAATTATTTTTTTCTTCTGGTAAACGTGAATCTCAATAAATAGTTTGTCTCTAGTGTTATAGAACGATAAATATATCGGGATAAATTTAACACAACTGAATGGGCTTTTGTTGTCGTGCTCTTTTTAGGTCAAGTCTAACGAAAATATAAAATTACTTTAAGTTTTACTTGAATATAACTAAAAGAAAATAAAGTTACAAATTAAACAAATTGTAACATGTAGGAAATTTTTTTCAAAAAAAAAAAAATAAATTGTTATTTGATAATGGTAACATTTTTTAATTGTTTTTTTTTTACATTACTTTCTAAATCTGAATTAGTAAAAATTATAAATTACTTTTAAATTAATAAAAAAAAAGGAAAATTGTTTTACTGTCAAATTAGTAAAATTTCAAAAGCAAAAAATGAACAAATTTTTCTAATTTAAATTTAGAGAGTGATTAAGAAAAAATTGTTTATTGTGGACTCAACCTCTTTATAAATTTGAATTAGTAAAAATTTTAACTGAATTAGTAACTAACTTTTTTAAATTAGTTAAATTTTACTAATTCGATAGTATAAAAATTTTCTTTTCGATTAGTTAGAATAAAAAAAAACAATTAGTTAAAATTTTTACTAATTCAAATTTAGAATACACAAAAAGTATTTCTTATGACGTTACAACCTGATCTTACATAATAAAGTAAAAATAAAAATTCTAAACCGTTTTCAAACAATTTTATTAAAAATCACCACCAAAATAATATTTAAGAAAAAAATTTCTTTTAATTTCAGGACAAAATTCGACTATTACAAGACGATCTCGAGAGTGAGAGAGAGCTACGTCAGAGGGTAAGTGCATTCATCTTATATTCATTTTTGCTTTGTATTTTAAATTTAAAATCATATATATGAGATGATGCAAGGCGACAAAGTGGCGCTTAACGGAAGCTGATGTGTTCCGCGCGCGTTTCACAAACGCACATACACCGCTGACCTCGAATTGTCACGCAGACGAATGAAAAACTGATATATCCTGAAGAGGAATGAACCAAAGCGACACATAGGAGGAAAAATTATTTTCGGAACTCATTTTGTTAAAATAACGTGAATTTGAGAGAGTGCCTTCAGAATCCCAACATGGCGCTGTATAAAAGTGGGGATAAACTAACTTGAAATGTCCAGCTCATGCCGTTTCTATTTCTGTGATTGCTCGCAGGCCTTTGCCGAGACGTTTTCGCGTTCCGACATTCCTTTGGCTTATTTGTAACCAAAGATTATAAATGTTTTTTTATTTTATTTCAATTTTTTTCAAATTCTTATTTTCGAGTCAACAGGAATTTCACATAAAAATCATTGGTTGTAATTTTTATTTTAAAGAATTTTATTAGATACTATTTTCATTTTTCACTATGAATTTATTTTTAAACAAATTATTACCTATAACAAGATTTTTTAACCGAATATTCACAGAAAATTAAAAGGCATTAAAATAAGCTGCAACGCTTCTTATTTTAATCCAATTTTGCTTATTTTAATACCAAAATGAATTAAAATAAGCAAAATTGGATTAAAATAAGAAGCGTTGCAGCTTATTTTAATGCCTTTTAATTTTCTGTGTTCTGATTGGTCAATTTTAAAATTCGCGCCGATATCTTTCTGCTAATTGTATATTCGGTCATTTGCAATTTCGGACAAATGAAAATTCGCCGTTTTAAGAAATCTATCAAATAACAAATTGTACGAAACAAAAATTCAAAAAAAAAAAAAATTCCGCCAACTATTCATAGAATTGAAAATTCATAACACTTAAAATTCTGTCGAATGAAAATTACAACTAAATTAAAATTCTAAATTTGAATTTTTTTAAATAAAAAATTGGGTAAAAAGAAATTCTGTGAAATAAAAATTCTGCCAATTAAAAAAATACCTACAAATTACCTAAAGTATACCTAAATTTTGTTAAGTAAAAATTTGTTAAAAAATAAATTCCGTTAGATGCTATTTCGAAAAGATTCTTTTAAATATTTATTATTATTATTTTGTCACGATAGATTGATAAATTTAATTATATAGTTTAAACATAAAAAGAATTAAAATAAAATTCCGTAATATTTTATCAGGCGATCAAAAATGATATATTTGCAGAATGTTACCACAGTGCCAAAAAATAATCTTTAAAGTTTATCGACCTGCAAAAATATTACACTCGAAAGTTTCATTCACCTTCTATTAAAAATTTAATAAGATTTTAGTTGTTTTTTTTAAACACGCTTTCTATTTTTAAATTCTACAGTAAAAATATATAACAAAAAAAAAAAATGTTCACCTGGAACAGCAATAAATTTCACTGTATAACAGCGATATATGTTTCACTAAAAGAAGGAAAATTTTCGTTATTCTAGAGAAACATATCGATGTTCCAGATAAAGATTTGGTTCTAAAAAAAGAATTTTCAATAATGGACTATTAAATTAAAAGTCGAATAACATTAAAAAAAAAAGTAATTAATATAATTTTTTTTAACAGGTTGAACGTGAGCGTGCCGACTTGAGCGTGCAAGTCATACAGCTCTCGGAGCGGCTTGAAGAAGCCGAAGGTGGCGCTGAGTCTCAGGTGAGTTTAAATTTATTTTTCATTGTATTTATTATTTATAAAAAAAAAATCTAATCGTTCGGTATTGTATTCTGTTGACAGTTTGAAATTAACAAAAAGAGGGACACAGAATTATTGAAGCTACGAAAGCTTTTAGAAGATGTCCACCTCGAAAGTGAAGAGACCGCTCATCTCTTACGCAAAAAGCATCAGGAAGTGGTCGTTGATTTTCAGGATCAAATCGACCAAATGTCAAAGGCTCGAGCAAGGTTAGTATTTTAAAAAAAAAAAATACATTTTTTCTACGATGACGTATATCACACATAAAATCATGATAATAAATATTCTCAAAGAGATTTAACTAATTTCAAAAGTAGTTTCCTATTAATAAACTTAAAAAAAAGGAATAACCGGAACGAAGTAAAATTCACATAATCCCATGCCTAGTACACGATGATTCATACACGCGATCTAAAATAATTATAGCTGGTGCATCGCAGTGAGAAGGCATATCCAAAAATTATAGCAAATTATGTGTCCGAAGTACTGGCCTCCTTCCAACAAACCAAGTTACTTGCACCTGAAATATATGACGACGACGCCAACGTCCCTTTGACTTCTAAACATAGGTTTTCTCCAGATTTCCGAAAGTTATAACACAAATTGCCTCAACGATATTTTACCATTACTGATTTAATTTTTTTTTCAATTTGTAAAATTATTTTTAAATTTCACCTTTTGGAATAATTTTCTCTTGGATAGATAATTTTTACTAGTGGCACATTTTTAACACCTTGTTAAAATAGCATTCTCAACTCATAATCCTTGTCACTCTCTCTCTCTCTCTTTCTGTAGTTACTGACTTCATCTCTTTTCTGTCTTTCTCTCGTCGAGTGTTTTCTTGTTGTACAAACGTTTACTTCGGCTTATGACTATTTTTAACTGTTGGAAGTTGCGAGGCAATCCACAACCCCACGTTGGCACGCCATATTAGTACACGCTACTAGTCCCGAATCCCCACCCTAAATCCACGGAATCAACTGACTGACACCTTACACCCTCGATTTTGCGTAGGAGGAAAAATTCTCGGTCAATTATTTACTGACTGCCGTAATTCTATTAAAAAAAAAAAAAGAAAAGATTTCTCAAAGAATTATTCTTAATCTTGGTTTCCTTTCATCGTCTCCATCGCAAACCCTATAGCTATATATATATACATACTTAAAATAGGCCTCTCTCGCGTGAAAATTAGAACTTGAGGGCGGCAATCGGCATGTTTCGAGTGGCACTGACACCAAATACTTTCAGCTGTTTTCGATCAACAGGTGATTATCAAAATTCTAAACATCTTGTTTATAGAGAACGAAAATTGAATTGAAATCGAGTTTTAATGAATTAAAAGCTTATTAAAAGCTGTACTGATTTTAAAAAATGAAGTTAGTAGAATTATAGGAAAATGGAACATAATTAGGGCACTAATATCAATACAGTAGAATTCTAATTATTTGGATTATATATTGAACCGGACCCGATCCGGATAATCGGAATGGACATGAAACTTATTTTTGAGCAATAAGCCTCTAAATCTGCTATTTAAAATCATTTGTACTTACAGTGCAATATATTATTATTGAAGAATATTTCCCATGCATTTTAATCTTAAATTTAGAATAAAATGTATGTTAAAATGTTCTTAAATATGCACCAAGATATTCTTAAATTTTAAATTTCGTGCTTTCGGTAATAGACACCCACTAAAAGTCACCCTCAAGTTTTCAACAATCCGGTTAATCGAACCTGGAATTCTACTGTAATTACAAAAATTTGTAAATCATAATTTTATCATTATTTGCAGAGCTGAAAAGGAAAAGGCCAAATTCCAGCAGGAAGTATATGAACTTCTTGCTCAAATCGACAATGTTACGAAAGAGAAGATTATGTCAATGAAGACAGTGGAGAAATTAGAAATACATGTTTCGGAATTAAATGTCAAAATTGAAGAAATTAATCGCACGATCGTTGACATTACAAGTCATAAAACTCGATTGTCACAAGAGAATATTGAATTGACAAAAGAAGTACAAGATTTAAAGGTATAAATCAAATATTTAGTCATTTAAATTAATTATTAATTACTAATTACTAATTACTAATTTTTAATTTTTCAGGTGAACATAGAGAATGTTATTTACTTGAAAACTCAAATCGCTGGACAATTGGAGGATGCACGTCGTCGTTTAGAAGATGAAGAACGACGTCGCTCATTAGTTGAAGCTTCATTACATCAGGTAAATATAACAAAAAGAATTTGAAAATTAATTTAATCGCCTTAAAAAAACAACTTTTATTAAGAGCATTTGAACCTTCGTGACGTCACAAATCATGGCGCATTTTTTTGACAGCTTTCTAAATTATTCATCTCAATTTTGTAAAAAATAAAGGCCAAAAAACCAATTTATTTTTCAATTTTTCAACTAAATAATTATTGTTTTTTATTTAAAAAATTGAAAAATGATTGAATTTTCAACCTTTTTTACAACATTGAGATGAATAATTTAAAAAATTCTCAAAAAATTGCTTTTTTATATGTGCTTTTTGAAAAATTTATATGAAAAACAATAATTACTTATTGAAAAAATTGAAGAATAATCTGCTTTTTAGCCATTATTTTTTACAACATTGAGATAAGTAATTTGAAAAATTCTCCAAAATCTGCTTTTTGAAAAATGCAATTTATATGTGTTTTTTTAATAAAAAAGAATAATTATTGATTTAAAAAATTGAAAACTAATTCAATTTTTAAATATTACGTTTCACAATTTTTAAATTGGTAAATTTCAAAATTAAGAAAAAAGTGCATTTTTGTATGTTTTTTTTTTTTTTTTTTTTTAAAGTGAATAAACAACAACAATTTATTGTTTAATTAGTAATAAACAATTTTAATTATTATTATTATTTATAATAAAATTAATTTAAATATTTGATAAATTACATAAGAATTTTCCAATTTTTATCCTGGTCTTTCCAAAAATGGCCTACATATAAGCAATTCGTGTATTTTTCCTTACTTGTGACAACCAACTTAAACATTGTTTAAAAAACGTTTTAAACGCAAAATTTTGAATTTTCCGCACATAACAGACAGAGTCTATGTTATTCTGAACATTTTCCAAAAGGTTTTTTTTAAAAATATTCAAAATTGTGCTTTTCACATACCTGAGAAGTTTGCGTGTCATGCGCCATGATTTGTGACGTCACGAAGGTTCAAATGCTCTTAAGAAATAATTGTCAATACAAAATGAAATTTTCACAATTTAAAATCAGGTTGAGATTGAACTGGAATCGGTTCGCGTTCAATTGGAAGAAGAATCGGAAGCACGTTTGGATCTTGAACGTCAATTAGTGAAAGCCAATGGCGAAGTTTCCATTTGGAGATCCAAATATGAGACTGAAGCTCAAGCTCGCGCAGAAGAAGTAAATATTTTATTCATCTTAAAATTTTATTCATCGAAAAATTTTATTCATCGAAATATTTTATTCATCTATTGTTTATAGGTTGAAGAATTGCGCCGCAAATACTGTGCTCGTATTCAAGAACAAGAGGAGCAAATCGAAACTCTTTTGGTTAAGATCAACAACCTTGAAAAACAAAAGTCTCGCTTGCAATCAGAAGTAGAGGTTCTAATTATTGATCTGGAGAAGGTGGGTTTTTTTTTACTTAATCTTGTACTAAATTAACTAAAAATAGAAGAAATTTAATCAAAAGTAGTGTTTGTTTTAAAAAGGTTATTTTAGAACTAATTTTCTTTTTTTTTAAGGCCAATGGAACCGCTCGGGAGCTTCAGAAACGTGTGGAACAAATGGAAAAGATCAACATTGAAATGAAGGCCCGCCTTGACGAAACTTTGGCTATGTATGAACAAAGTCAACGAGACCTTCGCAATAAACAACAGGAACTTCAACGTTGCAATGCTGAACTTGACAAAACTCGGGAACTTAAAGATCAACTTCTACGTGAAAATAAGAAACTTGGAGGTACAATCATTTTTTTGAAGACGTAACAAAATTTACCTCAAAATATTGACTAACAATTTCTTTTTAACAATCTTTTAATAAATTATTATTATTATTTTTTCTCAGACGATCTTAATGATGCTAAGAATCAATTAGCTGACATGAATCGCAGACTACACGAACTGGAACTTGAGCTTCGTCGTCTTGAGAACGAACGAGAAGAACTGGCTGCTGCCTATAAGGAAGCCGAGGCCGTAAGTAAAAAAAATCAAATAGAAATTACATTCAAACAAAAAACAAAATTATAAATGCTGATCAAATGAAAATTCCTAGGGTCGCAAAATCGAGGAACAACGTTCACAAAGATTGGCCGCTGAATTAGGTCAACTTCGACACGAAACTGAGCGTCGTCTTGCTGAGAAGGATGAAGAGATTGACGCCATTCGGTAAGTTCAACTTTTAATAAATAAATAAAAAATAATAATAATAATAAAAGTGAGAAACTATTCAATTTAACAACGTTAAAAATAAAATGATTCATCATCTTTTTTGAGTGTCAATCATAGTAATCGTTTCTACGTAAATGATTTCTAAATTTAAATTATCAATCACAATGAAAACATAACTAAAAGTAATAGATAGCGCCACCTGAGAGTAATAAACTAATCACGGTTCTGATTTTAACTAATGATGCAAGTGACATTATTTTTAATTATCCACTGCCTCATTTGCTAATAATAAACTAAATTCGTCATTGTTGAAGTTTGCCAAAGTCATCCTTGGTGGTGATTCCCGGGGTCATATATATATATATATATATATATTCAAGGGAAAATCCTATAACCTAAATAGGTTAAATAAATCCCCATTGAATTGATTTTCTCTAAACGATTTCCTATTCTCATTTGAATATTCAAGACAACTTTCCACTATTTGAGATAACAAAAATGAAAATATTATTTTCATTAAAAACAAAAGACAAATTTTACATTTTTGTTTCGAAACTTACTAAAAACTTACTAAATGTTAGTAATCTAACATGAGTTTTTGTTAAGTGTGGAATGTTTCATATCTATTAATAAATAGCTCATCAAAGTCATAATTTATTTATTGGCAAACGAAATTGATTGGCGGATCATAAAAGAAATGATGTGGCAACTTTAGAAACTCTACAAAAGACTGCACAAGATTGGCCGGAGACCTCATTTTTTTCCAACAGTCATTAAAGTGTCAATTATAAAAATCAAAAATGAATTTCAACTAACAACAACAAAAATTGCATTATAATTTATAAAAATTTCAACCTCTCAACATATAAAGAAGGATAATTTTAATTTATAAAGGAAATTTTATCTTCTTCAATTTGTGTGAAGGATAAATAAAGTTTAAAAAATTTATTTCAAAAATGGTGACAAAAGTGCCAATGTGTCAAGTGCCACTTGAACCAAAATGGCGTCGTGGACCTAATTATATTTATGAAAAAAATTATGGATACGGAATAAACTATTATCAACCGATGATTGATTATATTGATGAAAAAGAGAACAATATCAGAGCCAAGTCAGCATATCCCCACTTGCCTTGGTCAGATGGTCGTGCATTTTGGGAACACAAGCAAGTGAGGCCTTACAGTAGGCAAGACCTTGTGAAACACGCAATTAACGCCGAAGCAAAGGCTAGAGAGCATTTGGAAAATTTCAAGGTAAGTTGAAATAGGAAATCATCGAAAAATCATCGTCTGTTCTTTATTCTATAATTTTGAAGTGGAAATTTTTTTTTTTTCAAATTATCAATTATTGTAGAAAGAAAATTAATCTAGATCAAAATCTAGTTCGAAATTTAACAAAAAATATTTGACGAGAAATTTTGTTTAGAAAATCCTATATTATTCCTTGTCAATTGTGCCATTTTTTTTTTAATATCAGTAAAATTATTCAATTAGAAACGAAAAACAATAAGTAGAGGACCAGTAGAAAACAGCTTGTTTTAATAATAGCAATTAAACATTTTTGGGATTTACTAAATTTGATTCAAATACATAATCGGTTAATTTATTATTAAATAAATATTTATTTAATTATTATCTGAGTCAATTAAATGGTATTTGTTTTAAATTATTGGTTCAAATATAGTTTATTTAATTCAATTATTTGGTTTCAAAAATTATTTAGTTCCATACTGAAAAAAAAATTTATTTGATTCAAATACTCAATTACTTGAGTATTATCAAATAAATATTTATTTGAACCAAATAATTTTTATTTGAATTAAATAAATTGTATTTGAACCAATAATTTCTGTATTTGAAACAAATATCATTTAATTGACTCAAATATTAATTATTTGATACAAATAAATATTTATTTGATAATAGTCAAGTAATCGAGTATTTGAACCAAATAAATTTTTTTTTCAGTGCAGTAAATATTTATTTGAGAATAGTCAAGTAAACGATTAATTAAAGATTGACTTTTTTTCCAAATATTTTAAGTTTCTTTTTTCTTAATCAAAAACGCTAGAAACAATAAAAAATATTTTTTCCCCACCAAGTTTATTTTTCTATCGAAATAGAATTTCAAAATAAAAACTTTTAATTGTATTATAACAATTTCAATTCGAAGAGAAGAGTCTAACTCCCAGAAAGGTATACTTTTATGAAATAATTAAAAAGATAAATTAGCTAAATTCATATTTAGCCCTATAATAAACTACCATTTCTGATATTTTGCTGATTAATTTTTCACAAAAAATAAATTTAATTTATAAAATATTAATAAAAGAATAATTAAATTAAAAATTCGTAACAAAAAATAAATCCTCTATCAATATTAAATAATTATTTATCAATAATTGAATTATTTTTATAATTCTTTAAATATATGAGATATAGTAAAATTTTCCTAATAATTTCAATACTCATTTTATATGAAATTGACTGATTCGAAAATCTTGGCGTCTGCAACTTTGCGACTGCCTGACCTTTTCCAATTCTAATTCAGTACTACGGAAGAAGCTGGTTTAAGTGTTTCATACGTTAGAGCCTGCTTGATCTTTCATCGAAGAGAGGCTACAAAATCGACACTGCAAGCGCCGCTCTAATTACGGGTGTGTCCAAAAAAGTGGTGTAACTTTTTTTTTTTTTTTTTTGCAGATATAAATTAATAACAATTTTATCCAAATCACGACTTCTTCTCTCATGGCTAACAATTTACAAGGAAATAATATGGGGTTAGTGTAACATTTTCAATTAAGCCTTTTCTTTTTTTATAAATGCAAAAATTTACAAAAAAATCCTACGAAATAAAAAAACATTTATAAGTTCAATTCATGTCCATATGTCAAATTAAAGAATTTCAAAAAAAATTTAAATGAAAGATAAAAAATATAGGGGAAAAAAAAAATTCAATATTCTATAATTTTAACAAATTGAAAAAAAAAAAAATTTTATATTGTCCAAAGCTAGCGAAACGATCAGATTTTAGTCTGACAAAAACAGTAGAAGCGGCTCACGTTACAAAAGAAATACTCGAGGGCAGATTAGATACATTGGCATTGGAAACGGTGAAACCAAGGAAAAAAATTATTCTCGAAGACGAAATAGAAGAGATGTCGGGTCGAGAAATTCAATCATTGAAAGACATTCATGAAATATCAATGATCAATGATACAATTGATTATGGTAAAAGTTTACGTGGTAAATCAGCGAAAGCAATTGAAATGCAACTTAAAACTGAGGCATTCAAAAATCTTTCACGAGCACATGAAATAGCTGATATAAAAAAATGGCAAAAAGAAGAGACAATTCATCATCATGAATATCATGAGGAATCCGAACATCGTCAAATAATACAAGAATTACAAACAAATTTAACTGACATGGAAAAAATAGCCGAGCCATTGTCGGCATTAAAAAGACAATTAAAATGTTACGAAGAAAAAACGAGCAATTATTTTTCAGATACAAGGTATTCAATTAGTAGTAGAAAAATAAGGAAAACATTTTGTGTGACATCAATTCGATAATATCATCAATATTATTGACCAAATTCAGGTCAATATGAAACTAACGGAATTACATCTCATTATTAAATAACTTTACAATTGTGATTTAATATTAGAACTAGCAAAATTACACGCGCGCGTCCAACTTTGAATGCAATGGTTGTTTTAAAATAATAACAATAATAATAATAATAATTCTGCATCAGTGGAGTAATAAATTAATAATAGGTATATTTCTAATTTTCACGTTATCATTTATTTATACACAGAAAAAAAATGAGTTTAATGTTATATAGTGATTTTTTAGTTAAGCCAGCTCATAATTAGTTAATACAGCAAAAATAATTTAGCTAAGTTAATTTTTAAATTTAATAAACTTGTAAAACTATTAGTTCGATTGTTGGACGGTAACAACAATGAAAATCCAAGAAAAAATCTATCGAAAAAGTGATGATAAGAAAAACATAAATTAAAACCAATAGTTACACAATTGGCGGTGTAAATGTTGATAAAAATAAGATTTTTAAGTAAAAATTTTAAAATATAAATATTAAAAATTAAGAAATAAATATTTTTGATATTCGATGATTTTTTATAATCTTTGAAATTACAAAAAATTAGTTTTTGCTAAATATTTTTTTTGTATTTTCTATAAATATTTCGTTGTAAATGAAAATTTATGTTTTTTTTTCAAAAAAAATTAATTAATTGATAATTAATAAAAATTAAAAAATTATGTAATCAAAAAGAAAATTAAATTAATTGAAAATTATTAATTATATTTTAAAAAGTATTAAGCAATTAAAAATTATTTTAAAAATTTTGAAAAAATAAAACCTAAAAAAAACTTTTGTAATGTTTTAAACTTTAAACTTAAATTAAAAATTAAAACAAACTTTAATAAGCACCCGTTAACGTGATCGTTAACGTTTGAGAAGCCAATAACTTCTTCAATATTTTGATTTTTCATATCTTTCCGACATCAAATTTGGAATAAAACTCATGGATTCTGACACATTTTTTTATGCTCTTTCGATTGGTAATGATTAAAATTTGAACAAACTTTAATACATTGGTTTTTGTAACCGTTAAACAATTAACGTTACGTTCTTCAGCTCAATAAAATCAAATTGTTTTTAAAAAAGCAAACTATTTTTATATTGTTTACAGATAAAAAATATTATAATTGGAACTTTTTTTTCTATAAATACCAAGTAAGAAATATACTAGTGCTACACACAATGAACAATATTTTTTTTTTACTTTAAACTGTCCCTTAGTATATGACTTAATTAATGACGATGAATAAAAATATCCGTCGCGTTAACCATAAAATATTACGAAATCAAGAATTGTCAAAATTTAAGAAAAACAAAAAGGAACAAAATACGACTAACTTCAAGTGTGGATAGACGGAATGAATGAATACGGAAATTATTATAGTTCATTTTTTTTAACAATATTCAGATTACTTAAAAGATAAAAAAAAAATTCTTTTTAAACAATTAATATGTTTGTTTTGAATTTACAGTAAGGCAACGAGTATTGAAATCGAACAATTAAGCGCCCGTGTGGTGGAAGCTGAGACGAAATTAAAGACTGAGGTACAACGTGTCAAGAAGAAGATGCAGATGCAAATTACTGAATTAGAATTGTCATTGGATGTTGCAAATAAAACCAACCTTGATTTACAAAAGACAATCAAAAAACAATCTCTTACTTTAACGGTAAATTGATGCTTAGGAATTTCAAAATAAACTTGCCAAATATAATTTAATATTAAAATTTTTGTTTTAGGAATTGCAAGCACACTATGATGAAGTACAACGTCAATTGCAAGTAACATTAGATCAATTGGGCATCAGCCAACGACGTCTTCAATCTTTGACTGCTGAACTCGAAGAAGTTCGCGGCAATTATGAATCTGTGAGTAAAATATAAATTCTTTTTTTTTCTATTAACTATATACTTTATTAATTTTCTTTCTTTCCTCTACTTTTAGGCCCTTCGTGCAAAGAGAAATGTCGAGCAGCAGTATGAGGAATCAGTCAGTCGAATCAATGAACTAACAACAATAAACGTAAATATTGCATCTTCTAAAGTTAAATTGGAACAAGAGCTCACAGCATTGGCGGGAGACTATGAAGAAGTGACAAAAGAATTGAGAGTAAGTGACGAAAGATATCAACGAGTACAAAACGAATTGAAACACACTGTTGAAATACTTCATGAAGAACAGGAACGTATAGTTAAAATTGAGGCTATTAAAAAATCACTTGAAATTGAAGTTAAAAATCTTTCAATTCGTTTAGAGGAAGTTGAAGCCAATGCTATCGTCGGTGGTAAACGAATTATTAGCAAACTTGAAGCCAGAGTAAGAATTCCTTTCAAATTAAATTATTACTATATCTTTTCTTATTCAAAAATTTAATATAAAATGAAATTTCAGATTCGCGATTTAGAATTAGAGCTTGACGAAGAGAAACGTAGACATTCGGAAACAGTGAAAATACTACGTAAAAAGGAGCGCAATATTAAAGAGGTTATGATTCAAGTTGAGGAGGACTCAAAGAATGTTGCATTATTGCAAGAATGTTTAGATAAAGCAACTCAAAAAGTAAATATTTACAAGAGACAACTTCAAGAACAAGAGGGTATGTCACAACAAAGTGTAACGAGAGTTCGTAGATTCCAACGTGAATTAGAAGCAGCCGAAGATCGTGCAGACACAGCTGAGAGCAACCTGACCTTAATACGCGCGAAACACCGTAGCTTTGTAACCACATCGTCTGTGCCTGGCTCTCAGGTTTATCTTGTCCAAGAGACGAGGCAGGACATTTAATTCGCTCATCCCTGCAAAATCATACCCTTGCTACTACAACTTCATCTCCGCGAACGTAAGTCTAATTAATCAATTATTTCGAAATCAGGGATATAAAAATTCTTTTTGTCCTACATGCACGATAAACGCGACTTTCCGTGCAGGTATAGCCGGCGGAAAGTAAGCTTTTTTCCACCCGCTACTCTAGAAAAGTAATTTTCTGAATTATTTAAAAACACATTTTTCAAGTTGAGTATTTTTAAATAATTAATTCACCAAATTTTTAATATTTTTAAATAATTTTATAAAATATAATAATATTTAAATTTCCCTCAAACATAATAAAAATATATCCAGTATTTTTAACATTCAATATTTGGTCTTTGATTTTACTCCAGTTTACTTCCTTAGGCGTCTTTATTTATCGTGCAATTGGACAAAAAACATCGTGTGCAACACGGGCGGAAAGGTTAATTCACGCTCGCGGTCAGGAATTGACTACTTTCCGCCCTTGCCACACAATTACTCTCTAAATCTGAATTAGTAAAAAAGTTTATTAATTTGAATTAGTGACTCACTTTTTGCTTCTTAACCCCTTCGCTGTGAAGCAAAAATCGTGTTTCCGTGCCACCAGTGTGCAAAAAAAAAAATTTTTTTTTAAATCTTATATTACCATATTGTATGTTTTTATTAACATTAATATTATATTAAGTAAAACTATTTTATTTTTAAGATGCTGCTATAGCGGTCATGCACACTGGTGGCACGACTTATTTTTGCCTCTATAGAGGTCAGTAACAGTGAAGGGGTTAATTAGTAAACTTTTACTAATTATTAGCAACTTTTCACTAACAATTAGTAAAATTTAACTAATTCTAAAGCAAAAAGTGGTAAGCTTATTAATTAGTAAAATTTTACTAATTATTAGCAACTTTTCACTAACAATTAGTAAAATTTAACTAATTCTAAAGCAAAAAGTGGTAAGCTTCTTAATTAGTAAAATTTTACTAATTATTAGTAACTTTTTACTAATTATTAGTAACTTTTTACTAACAATTAGTAAAATTTAACTAATTCTAAAGCAAAAAGTGAGTCACTAATTTAAATTACACTGAAAAAAAATTTATTTGATTCAAATACTCGATTACTTGTGTATTATCAAATAAATATTTATTTGAACCAAATAATTTTTTATTTGAATTAAATAAATTGTATTTGAACCAATAATTTCTGTACTTGAAACAGATTCCATTTAATTGACTCAAATAATAATTATTTGATACAAATAAATATTTATTTGATAATAGCCAAGTAATCGAGTATTTGAATCAAAAAAAAATTTTTTTTTTAGTGTAGTAAACATTTTTACTAATTCAAATTTAGAGAGTATAAAATAGGTTAAATAACAAAATTACACTGATTTCCTCATCAGAAAGTTTGACAATAAATAAAATTAGAAAAATTAATTAAAAATAAAAAAACAAAAATTAAAGATTTAATTTAAATATTATAAATTTAATATAAAATGAAAAGTAACAAAAAATAAATTAACAATGAAACAATAAAAATAAATTAAAATGCAAATTTAAAGAATATAACAAAAATACAAAATAGAACAAGAATAAAAACAAAAATTTTATAAACGAAATTAAAAAAAAGAAAATAGCAAAATAAAATAAATACAAAAATTATACAAAGGGCAAAATATGCAAAAATAATAAAAACAAATATAACAACAATAATAATAATAATAATAATAATAATAATAAAAAAAATTATAAAAAAGAAAATAATGGGGGAAATTATATTGTAAAACTCAAAAAAATTTACAATGAAGAAATAAAAATAAATAAATAATAAAAAAATAAATAAAAATTAATATTTATTTTTAATTAATATTTTATTTTAATTAATATTTATTTTCAATTATTATTTTATTTTAATTATTATTTATATTTATTTTACTATTTAATTTATAATGTAATTTTTTTCATTTTATTGATTTATTTATGTTATACTATTTTTGCATATTTTGTCGTTTGTAAATTTTTGTATTTGTTTTATTATTTTATTACAAATTGAGATTTGTAAAGAATGGCATTCAAATTATTTAAAATAATTAGAGAATAATAATAATAATAATTTAGAGAATAATTTAAGTTAAAAATTTGGTAAATAATTGAAATAAAAAAGATCTGAAGAAGATCTGTAATGTATAACAAAAAGATTTATTTTGTTTAAAAATTTTGTAAAAAGAAAAAAAGTTGAAAAAGTAGTGATTACAAAATCGATTTATCCGAATGTTATCGTTTTAATTAATATTTAATTAATTAATATATAATTAATTCTTTATTATATATTTTACTTGGACGTTAAAGTTTCGATAATTATAAAATTCTTTTATATTTTCTTATTCAGGAATTAAAAAAATCGTTCTAAGGAGAGGTCTACGAATCAATGTATGGACAATTCGACAAACAATTTCTGACTAAAAAGACGTATTATTTTTTCATCGATATAGTAAGAAAAAAAAAACCCCCCCACAGTTGATTCGAGGTACTTAACCAAAGAAGCGGAAACACATCAATAAATGCATTAAAATCATCGCATTCAAGATCATCATTTTAATTAAATCTGATCGCTAATTATTATCTTTTAAGAAAGTTAAAAATAATAAAAAAAAAAAAAAACACCCATTCGTTCTATTACACCTACACACAAACTTGTATTTAAATAATGTTAATTATATTACACACTATTATAGATAGGGACCTCTACCCATTACACAAACTCGTTGTACGACATAAAATAACCTGTGTCAACATTTAATTTAATAATAAACTGAAACGTGTACGTACGAAATTTTAGAAAAAAACAATTATTCTTATAATCCCAATGCCTATTTGTTTAGAAAATAAAATTTTATCTATTTTCCTCTTAAATCATATATTTATGAATAATATAAATAAAATATAATTATCATAAATTAGATATATATTGAATCTAATTTTTTAAATTCAATTAAAAGGCGAATAATTATAAATTTGTATGATAAACATGTTAATTTTCATTTTTGAAATATAAATATAAATTTGAAATATAAATAGATAACTCACCGATAGCGCATTCTTTATTGTAGATTCATCCATCTTTCCTTTGATTATCGGGTACATCACTTGATCCTTGTATCCTTTATTGTTGATTCATCCATCCATCCTTTGATTATTATCACATCACTTGATCCTTCTAACCTTAATGTATCCTCATAAGGTCCCATTTTGATCTATACATTAAAAAAAAATTTATGAAACTCAATTACAAAATATTTTACATTTGCAAAATAAATTTCCATTCACATTTTATATAAATTATAAATTAATAATAAAATAGATGAATATATGTTTAGAATTATTTTCTAAATTGATAAATATTTAAAGAAAAACTGAAATTTACTTATTGGGCATATATTTAATTAATAAACTAAAAATTACTACAAATATTTATAGAATATAATCTTCAAATATAATAATATCAAAAAAATTTAATATCTTTGAATAAAACAATTTTTTATAGTTAATTCAATCAAAATATAATTCTACCAAATAAATCAATAAAATGTTATTAAATACGAAAAAATTTGTTACTTAAAAAAATAACTAGTAGATTTAGAAAAAAATCTGCTTTTAAAAGTTGAATTTCATTTATATTATTTTATTTCACTTTCAATAATTTTAATAGTTAATAAATAATTTAAAACAGAAATAAACTTTACATGACGGTCTGTTTTCTTACTTGATTGTTTTCGCATTTCAGTTTTATTTTTTTAATATAATAAGGATCTACTTGTACCGTTTATAAACTTTCATAATTTAATGATAAATAAAATACTGTGAATGATGTTATTATTTATACACTAAACTCTTTAAAATTGTCGAGAAAATCTTGTTACTAACTGACACACTAACACGATGTAAATGAAAAAAATGGCGTTGTTACCGGTGCGCGAATTCAAATTTGTAAAAGCAGAGTACGGTAATACGATGAAAAGAAAAAGGGATGGGAACTCATGTAATGGAAGAGTTTCTGCTAGTATCCACTGCGAGCGCCACGATAGAAACGTTCATAGTTTGTATACAATTGGTATACTATTCGATTGTGGCGCTCATAGCGGCTGGTTACAAAAACAAGTATATTCTACTCTCTTGCAAAAATAGCCCAAAAATTTATTTCCGTTTGGCGCTTTTTTAAAATTTCATCACAAATTTGTTATGATAGCTCTATAACAAGTGCAAAGTACCTATTTAATTAAGATTTATTATATTAAACACAGTACCTATATAATAATATATGTATTTAATTTAAAAAATTAATTAACCTACTCTATTTAATATCTAATTATTCATTGCTAATATAATTTCGATAGTCTACAAGATTGTAATTATAAATTTAAAAATATATATTTGAGGTTATGATTGATTCAAATAAATAAATATACTTTAGAAATAGTAATACCTGTATCGTCAAACTTCTGTTTTCTTTTGTCCTTGAATTCTCCTCTTCTACTGCAAAATACTAGGCGAAACCAATGAACTTTTTCCTGTTGTCCTTGAATTCTCCTCTTCTACTGCAAAATAGTTGGAGAAATCAATGTACTTCTTCTTCCTTTTGTCCTTGAATTCTCTTCCTCTACTTCAAAATAGTTGACAAAAGCAATGTACTTCTTCTTCCTTTTGTCCTTGAATTCTCCTCTTCTAATGCCAAATAGTTGTTGAAATCGATGATTGCCATAAAAAAAAATTTCTTGAAGCGACGCAGATGTTCCCTTCACGATGTCGAAGATGGAACTGAGCGTACGTGGTGGGGGAGTGTCAGTATTATAGCTCGACCTGCCGTGCGCTGATTGGTCGTTTGAAATTAAAAAAAAAAATTACTTTAGAAATAGTAAAACCTGTATCGTTAAAACTTCTTGGGGTATCATAGAACTTTTTTCCGTTGACCATGAATTCTCCTCTTCTATTGCAAAATAGTTGTCAAAATCAAAGAACTTCTTTTCTCCTCTTCTAGTGCAAAATAGTGGTCGAAATCAATGATTGAAAAAAAAAATTTCTTGAAGCGACGCAAACATTGCCTTCACAACGTCCAGGATGGAACTGACCGTTCGTGGTGGGGGGGAATGTTGCTTTTATAGCTCTTGTCTACCGTGCGCTCATTGGTCGTTTGAAACAAAATCGGTATACTTTAGAAATAGTAATTCCTGTAACGTCAAAATTCTTAATGTTTGAAAGAACTTCTGTTTCTTTTGTCTATGAATTCTCCTCTTCTACTGCAAAATAGTGGAGGAAACCAATGAACTTTTTCCTGTTGTCCTTGAACTCTTCTACTGCAAAATAGTTGGCGAAATCAATGTACTTCTTCTTCCTTTTGTCCTTGAATTCTCCTCTTCTAATGCCAAATAGTTGTTGAAATCGATGATAGCCATAAAAAAATTTTCTTGAAGCGACACAGATGTTACCTTCACGATGTCCAAGATGAAACTAAGCGTCCATAGTTGGGAAGTGTCGTTTTTATAGCTCTGTCAGCCGTGCGCTGATTGGTGGGGCATTCTCTAGTGAAACTGGACGCTGATTGGTAGGCGCTCTTGTGGTTTATGAACGTCTATTATAAATACTATTAATAATATTTTAATAAAAATAGTGATAATAAAAATAAATAATATATTAATTAATTAATTATTCATTATTATATTGATGATAATAATAGATTATATATTTTATTAAAAAAATGACAATAATGATAAAAATATAATAAAATTATTATTGTTATTTTTATAAAAGTACATTAAAGAAATTAATATTTTTTATTATAAAACAATATAATTAAGAAAAAAATTCAATAGTAAAGCGCGCTTTTTTTTAACCTACATGAGAGTTGTCGTAGCGCAAGCGCAATTGTGTTTAGATAGGGTCATGTCTGCTAGCAGTAAATAGCAGTATTTGCCGAAAATACCCATTATGTTGACATTGGGCCGTGTATTTAAATTATAAATATAATAATTACATTAATATAGTAAAAATGACAACGTTACTTTTTAAATTCGTGAAAAACACGAGTGTCTTGCATAAAGTAAATCGTCAACCGAATCTCGTGAAAATTTGCAGAACAACAACAAGTCCATCAGGTGCAATTCTTCCTGAACCGAAACGACCACGTTTTGGTTTTGTTGGCATTGTTTGTGGAATTGCTTTTGGTTTATTTGTTGGAGCTGCTATTAGTAAAAATATAGCCAATTTTTTGGAAGAAAACGATCTTTTTGTCCCATCAGATGACGACGACGATGATGATTGATTTTTGTATTTTTAGACAAAAAAAAAAAAAAATGAAACTTCAACGATATTACAAATTTTCTCAACAATCAATTATTATTATTATAGGAAAAATAGTTGCTTTATTCAAGCTAAAGGAGAAATTATCCTTTTTCTCGGATTGCGATTAAATTTTCATTTGTGAAAAAAAATACTTCAATTCCACAATTTAAAGGTATTATATTTTATATTTAAAATTTCGTAAAAAAAAAAAAATAATTTCATCTGTTGGAAATATTTTAATCTAAAAATAGAATGAGCATTTTTTGCCTGACACACAACTTATTTTTTTTTCTATTTTTGTAAAATTCCAATTTTTAATAATATTCATGTATTTAATTGTCAAATTTTAATATTTTCAGATTCACAAAAATGGGGGAAAAAAAGAATTTTTTTCAATATATTTCTGATTACGAATAATGAAGACTTAAAAAAAAATTCTGGTTTACGTTCGATTAAGATTAGCACAAATATAAATTTATAATTAGGAAGAAAAAATGTTAATTTTTAATTGTAATTAAAAATAGATTTTGTGTTTTTCATATTTCACAAGGCCACAAATATAATTTTCGCGCAAATTAGATAAATTTTTTTTTTTTACTAAAAAGTGTAATTATGGCTATAATTAAATTTTTGTTTGCTCTTCGAAAGGTAGAATAATATTTTTAAAGTTATTTTTATATACAATTGTCAATTGCTTGTTTATTTATGCTTTTATACTGCTTTTTTTTTCTTGTCAATGTTAGATAATTATATGTTGTAAGTGCAAATTTTGTTTCTTTACTGGAGTGTGATAAAAGGGATGTGATTTTATTTCAATTCTTTTGTGATAAATATATAATATATATATTTATCATAACCAGTGTATTTTCGTCAAATTGTTATTGTACATAAATAATAATTTAAAATAAATCTTGTTATTATTTCATCCACTTCTAGAAATAATTTTTTTTTTTAGTTAAAATAATTTAATTTTCAAAATAATATTTATATTATTAAATAAATAATATTAATTTATTTATCAATAATATTTTGTTTATAAGGAGAAAAAAACATTGAAGAAAATAATTAAAAAATTGCAATTAAGATATTTATTTAGCAAAAAAAAAATCCACTCAATATTCTACAATTATATACAAATATTTTATAATACACACGATCGCAAATTACATTCATTCATTCTATTTGCGATTTTTAATGAAAAAAAAAATTGGCACTTTTTTTTATAATACAAAAGAAAAAACCCATTTTTATGTTTTTTTTTAAACTCGACCATTTTTTTTTTTAGATTCTGCTCACAGAGCAAATTCACTAGTTTAAAAAAAAAGTCCTCCATAATAATTATTCGTTAAAAAATGTTAGTCTTTAAATATTAGAACAATTAGAACGCTCTAATTGATATATTGTTAAAAAAAAAAAAGAATGAAAATAAATAAATAAATTATTCCGGTGCCCGCTTATGTTGTCCCCAACCGTGAAAACATTTTGTAAAACGACGAGATTCTTTTCCTTTCGCAGAAAGAAACAATTTTCGCGGCTTCTCTGGTTGTTTTACTCGCAAATGTTGAATGTAAACCTGTAATTTTAAAATTAACAATTTTAGTTTTTAATTTAATTTTTTAATTAAAAAAAATTTTTTTTTTGTTTTAATTTCACCTGAGCTGATTTGTAGGCCAATTTTATTTCCACCTCTGAACAACGTGTTCCTAGCCAGAGAAAAACTTGTTCTCCATTATCGAGAATCATAATATCATCATCTGCCAAATCATCCTGTGAATATAATTTAAAAAATTAAATCCGTTTTTTTTAAATTAACAAAAATCTTTAAATACATTTTTCCTAAATTTTGCATTTTTTAATTTAATTAAATTTACCTGACAGAAATCGGTACATTTTTCACTGATAGTGAAATATCCTTTTTCATTCGAACATCTAAATAGTCTAGTATATTGCATGTATTCAGCATCAGTTTCGTATTGTTTTTTCCCACCTAAACCAACCCAAAAAAAATTATCTGGCTCCTCTCCTTCATTCAATACTTGTAAACTGATCCAAGGCTAAAAAAAAAATTTTTTTTCAACAATTAAAACTAAATTATGAAAGATTCTAATTTTCAATTTAAAATTGACAAAAATTTCATTAGAATAATAAAATACTTTGTGAAATGAATAAAGAAATATTAAAATTTATATATTTAGAATTAAAAAAGTTTTTAAAAAAACAATTTACATTATTGAACATTTCCTCGGCGATGGTTTCAATTAATCTACTTTCTTCAACATCAGCCTTCGATCCAATCCACACGTAAACGATTCCCGTTTCATCGTCATTATTAAATGGTACATTCAAAATGTAACTAAAAATAAATAAACATTAATTATTAATTTATATAATTTAAAAAAAGAAACAATTTCTAAAAAAAAAAATATCTTACCAAAATGCAGAATTTAAAAGCGAAGCATCGGGCGGAACTTGAATGAGTCTCGTACACAATGTACTGCCATTACTTCTTAAATGATAAAATTCAACTTTATTCGGAATTTTTTGTTTACGTTTACCCTGATGTATAATGAATTTCTTTTTAAAATGTGCCATAAATTTAAGATTCTCCTGTTGTTGATGTGTTCGTACAACTTCTAATTTTTCTCCAAATAGTGATTTAAATTTTTTCAATAAACTAAATGTAAATGTTAACCAACCCATGTTACCAGCATCTCTTCCTTGCCAAAAATATACCATACATTGAAAATCATCTTCACATTGATCATCCCCATCTTCATTTTCCATCACGTCAAGGGGCTTACAAAAATAATTCACATTTTACAAAATAATAAGTAAATAATTTAAATAATTACTATTTAAATTAAATTTTTTTTAAAAATTCATTTAAAATAAATGAAAACAAAAAAGCTTACCACCCAATAACGACAAAGGAAGACATAACAATCGGCACTATAAAAATGTCCCAGCTCATCCTCAGGTAAACGAACGAATTTTTTCCCCTCTAAAACGAGTGCTTCCATTGCTTCTAAATCATCATTCCATTCTGCCATTAATTGTTGGGCTTCAGCTGATGACATTGATGGCTGACGAGGCATAAATAATGCCGCAAGATCAGCCTATAAATAAAAAAATTATTTATTTTTCATTATTTTTCTTAATAGAACGCCAATTAATAAAATTTTCAATTTACCTTTGTATCTTGTTGTTTCGCCCATTTTGTAAGATCGGCACCAGTTTTAGCAACAGATTCAGCAGTTCTTGTAAAATCAACAGCAATTACTTCGTCCCATCCAGCAAATTTGCATTTAAATATCTTTAGAGAAAGAAATCAATATTAATAATTTATAATATAAAAAAAAAATATTTGCAATATTATAAATTATAAAAAAATCACCTGTGATTCGGTTCCTTCTTGAAGGCGGGTAACCATTGCATAATCGGGACGTTCAATCATGTTAAATAATTCCTGAGATAATTTAACAGCAGCTGCGCGAACCAATCTTGTTGATTTTTTTCCAAACCTTAAAAAATTGAATTTAAAACAATTTTAAAAACAAAAAAGAAATTATAAAATACTCTCTTTTCAAAAATTAGTAATTTAAAAATGAATTAATTAAAATTTTTTTCTCTCTCTAAAATAATATTATAATACACATACCAAACATAAACATCGAGATAACAATCAAGAATATAAACATTTCGATTATTCAACAATGTATTTGTCAATTTTCCATGTGGTACTTCGACCTGTGGCAATTCTAAATATCCCATTCCAAGTTGAACTTGATACAATCGTGGAATAACCGGCATAAAATCAGGATCAACATGTTCCTAATTTGAAAAAGAAAAATAATTTTTAAATATTATAACAAAAAAATAAATCTAATTTTTAAATTGAATACATACACAGGGAGTGGTAGGACGTTCGTTTATTTCCTTATCATTTATTAAACAATTCCAAAAATCATCACTCTCCGTTCCCATTGTTTCTGTTATAATATCAGATTTTCCTTTTCTTTCATTTTTATTAATTTTCTCCGCCATCAGTCTTGCTTTTGATTTTAATGTATTTTTCGCTGATTTTCCATACCAAATGAATATTTTAATTCCAATATCAAGAACAAATACATAACCAGGATCAAGTGATTCCAAATAAACTGGAACTGGTTCCATATGAATTGAAGCGCCTGCCGCGTGTACACGATACAATCGTCTCACTACCGGCTGTAAAAATATTATTATAGGTCTCGGATTTTAAAAAAAATATTAAAATTAATTAAAAATAATTGAACTTTGGTAGTTGAAATTTTTAGAAATAATTAAATTTTACAGAATTGAAAATAATTTATCAAATAATTTTTAATTATCAATTGTTGGGATTTTCTTTTTTTCGTAATATAAAAAAGAATAACTTACAGTATCTTCAACAGTATAAAATCCAGACGAGGTACGTCCACCTTCGATGTACGTAATTTCTGAGTCAAAAAGTAAAAGAAATTCATCAGATTCATCGCCTTGTTCTTCTCGAATTGTACGACATTGAGCGCCAAGATAATTTCGCAAATTTACCGCATGAATTGCAGCACAAGCACGTTTATCCAACTGTTTTTTTTTATTTGCAAAAGAAAAAAGAAATTTAATTAAAACAAATATTTAATATTATTTATATAGGTATTGTATATTAAATTCGAAAAATAATTTTAGTAAGCATAAAATATAAATTTAAATTTTACCGTTGCTTTTTCTCCAATCCAAAAATAAATTGCCCATATCAATGAACCACTGTCATCGATACTTGTCTTTAAAATAATATAACAATCGCCTTCGTAAAATTTGCCATGTGCAACTTCTTCAATTTGATTTGGTAAGAAATTTTCAATTTCCCATATTTGTAATCCCGGAATATGTCCTGCACCTTCGTCAAAAAATTCCGAATAATCTAATGGCGGTTTCTCTAAAGCCTCGTCCCATCTTTTTGGCCTGTAAAAAAAAAATATATATTCCTTGAAATTTAGAAAAAAAAAATTTTAATTAGAAAAAAAAATAAAATATACTCACTTTAGAGATTCAGCTTTTACATCCTCCCAGCCTTTGTCTTTATTTTTTTCCTTCGCTATATCTTTCATTCCCTAAAATGATAATGTCGAAAATTATTTTTATTTTTCTCCAATTAAATTTTCGAAATTTTTATACAAACCTTCAAGATTTTTGCCTGATCCTGATCAGCTTCCTCTTGATCTCGTCTTCGTCTTAGTCTCATTTTTCGGGCAATTGGATCCTTACTACTGTCTACATTTTTTTTAAAATAAATATTTATTGTTAAATTTTGAAATAATTAATGAATAAAAATAAAATGAAAAAATTTTTTCTGCTAACTTACTTGCTGTTTGAGCTGGCGCTGGAATATTTGCTCCTGCAAGACGAAGTTGATGTTGTAGGGAAAAATCAATGTTATAAAATTCAATGCCAGCGCCTTTTTGAATTTCAGTTGGTTTCGGTGGCATTATTAAATTTGGATTGTCCCTTAAATCTAAACAATCTAAATCCGTCAATAAATGTATTGCGTCTGGTACAGTAATCAGTCTATTCGAGGTCAATATCAATTGTTTCAATGATCCGCATCTAAAAAAAAAAATAAAATAATTTAAATCACATAAATTCGATAAATAAATTAATTTTAAATAATTAAATTTAAAATTATTACCTGCATAAACCTTCTGGAATCATTTCCAAATGATTATTAGCCGCGGAAAATACTTGTAATGCTGATAATTTTCCAATTCCAGATGGAATTCCTTTAAAATCTAATTCATTGTCATTTAAATATAATCGTCTCAGTGATAATACTTTACACAATGAAATTGGCAATGCAGTCAATTTGTTTCGACAAAGATTCAATGTTTCTAATTTTTGCCACATTTCTGAAAATTCAAAAGAAAAATGTAATCAAAATTTTTAAATTAAAACAAAAAAAAAAGAAATTAATTAAACTGAAATTGAATTAATTTTACCAATTGCTGTTGAAAGTTCAGTAATTTCATTATCGCTCATATTTAATCTACGTAAATTTGGCAGTGAATAAAGTGCATCAGGCACACGTGGCAATGCATTTTGTGAAAGATCAAGCTCTTGTAAATTCGTTAAACTTTCCATATTCGATGGAATATTGTTAAGTGTGCGTTGTGTGTCTCTCATTTGCAATACTGTCAAGTTCATCAACGATGGTAGTTGCCTAAAAAAAAGAAAAAAAAAATTAAAAACCTATTTAAATATTTTGATTTTCCTATAAAGAAATATAAATATAAAAAATCTCAAATATTTCAGTGGAAAAAAAAAATAAAATCATTAATTGTAGACAAAAAAAAAAGAGTACCTTAATTGAAAATGACCCAAAGGATTATTGTTTAAATTTAATGTTTGTAAATTTGCAAGACGTCTCGTTTGAGGTGGCAGAGTTTCCAATTGATTATTACTCAAATCCAAAAACAATAAATCCGTTAAATGAATAAATAATGTATTAGGAATAACTTCGATGCTGAAATAATAAAAATTGATTTCTTGCATTTAAATAAAATAATTATTTTAATACTCTACTAAATTACTTATTTATAATTAAAAAAAAAAAATAATCGCTTACTGATTGTGACTTAGATTTAAATTAAGTAAAGAACGAGCTCGTTCTAAACCTTCGGGTACTTCTCGTAAATTATTATGACTTATGTCTAACGTTGTGAGTTCCTCTAAATGAAATAATTCACTTGGTATTCCACTCGATTTGACATTATTGTGCCTTATATTTAATGTCCTTAGACAATTTAATTCAGTTAATTCACCGTACAAACGTTCCAATTTATTTCTTACTAAAGAAAGATGTTCCTGTAAAAGTAGAAACATTTTTTTTTTTTTTCTAAACAATATTTACATTCATTAACATTAAACATTTTTTTTTTAATTCGTCTTTAAAAACTAATAAATTTAAAATGACATTAAAATCAACAAAAAATAATAAATTTTAAAATTAAAAAATTTCTTTTTTTTCTAATAATTTCTACTAATTACCAATTTAAGTAATTTTCCCATTTCCTCAGGGATTTCTGATAAATTGGTATTATCTAATTTTAACCATTGAATCCCAGTCATCGCACGTACAGACTCTGGAAATTTCCCCTTCTGTAAATACCCAAAAAAAAATATCAATTTAAAATTTTATTTAAAAATTTTTAAATAAAAATATTATATATTTATCACAAAATTCTAATTAAAATAAAAATGTTCCTAAAAAAATTCAAAATTAAAATAAAATATAATGTGATAATTGAAAAGTTTTTTGTCAAATAAATTAGAAATAAATCTCAGCTGTTTGCATAATTAGCAAATGACCTAAATTAATATTAACAATTCCGTCAAAAAAAAATATGAGAATATGAAAAATAAATCTATTTTCATAGAAAATTCCACTTAATAATTAAAAAATAAAATTTGCTACTTACTCCAAAATCATTTCTACTGAAATCTACTCCTCTTACAAAAGGTAATACTCCGGTATTTGCCATTGTTTTATCAATATATATATATATATAAATTCACTGAAAACTTTTTTTTTTTGTTAAAAATAATGCTAGGCAGTCTATAATAAATAAATAATTTACGTTAGCTAGGCTATATATGGAAAAAAAAGAATTTAATTCGTTTTACGAAAAAGTGAGGTTATGTCAGCCGATGCTTATTATTTATACGCGTGTTTGACGTTGCCGCACTATTCACATTATATAATATAAATAAAGAAAATTGACAATGTAAACTATTTAATTAAATAATTTGAACACAAATAGACTTTATTTTTGTATGATACAAGTGCGTTTCTGGTGCGTATTATTGTAATGACTGACATCATCGTCTTTGCTTTAAACCATGTCTTCTTGCACTTTTGACATCATCATTATTGCTCATCGCCGCCATCACTAAAGGTAAACTTTTATTTTATAATTTAAAATATGGTGGTGGGGATTGAAGAGAACTAATTAAAAGAAAAAGGAAAATACATTCCATTTCCACGATTAATTGTGAAACGCGCAAGATACGCGTAATTATAAGAGTTTTCTATACTTTCTAATTTACATTCTGAAAATTTTCTTTTTCCATAAAATAAATAAATAATTTATAATTTTTGCCAATGTTATACAAATTACAAGTAAAAGAAAAAGTAAAATAATTCGATAAATTTATACAAGATGCAATTTTTTCATATATTGAATTATTATTAGTTAAAAAAATTTAAATTATTAAACTAATTAATTATTTAAAAAAAAGGAAGTTTCTGAAATTTGAAATATTGGTGAACGGAAATGACGTCACGTCCCTAATATCGTGGCGCGAAAATTTAAAATCAATTTTCCATAATTAAAAACCAAATAATGTAAAAAATAATTTAATTATAATATTTATTAAAAAGCTTTTCTCTTTTTTCTTTTCGTAATTTAAAAAGTGACAAAAAAAACACTCCAGTAAATTGATAAAAAATAATTTATTATTCTAAAAATAAAATAACATTTTTAAATATCTATTTTTTTTTACGTTTTCCAACTGAGAAAACTATCCTGTAGGATAATTTGTTTAAAAATACTATCAGGATTAGATTGTATTAATCGTCGATTACGTAAAGCCTCCAAAATATAAGATACTTTTTCTCTTGCTTCACCTTTTGGTATATCACCTCGAAGACTTAATAATCTTACCAATTGATCTTCACTCATATCGGGATATTTTTCCACCAATGAATGAAGATCTAATGATAAAATTTCCGAATCCTCACATCTTAATACTTCAGCTAATCTTTTAATAATTTCAAATGGTGAATCAAAATTTCCCACTTTTGGCGCAATTCGTGAGAAAAAATTCTTTAATTTATCCGCTTCGGCCATTATTTTTGATGTACAATTTAAACATTCATCATAATTTTTTAACGATATTTTCCTTTGTAACATTGCCGAAATATAACGTTTGGCTATTAATTTTTGTGCTTCAGTTATAACATAATCGAAATTCTTCGGTCTTAAATGATTGTAATCCTGAAAAAAAACAAATATATAAAATTTCAATTAAAAAAAAAAAAAAAATAAAATTATCAATATTTTTTTTTTTTTTTGTAAAAACCTGAAAATAATCCTCCAGTGTCACACAAATTGTTTCAACGGGAATTGGTGACGATAACCATTTAGGAGTGAGTAAATCCTGAAAATGTAATTCCAAATCAAGAAACGATTCCTCAAGTAAAATTGCCGCAGCATCATTACGAATACGTTGATAATTTTCCAATAGTGTCTCAAATTTACGTGCAATCTCGCCACTTGCATTTGGTAACCAATAAAGTTGTTTCATTTGTTGTGCAAGTTCAATAAATTGTAAACAATTATTAACAACTGTAATCATATGATGTGTAAAATAAGGAACACGGCTACGATCCTCAAAATGTTTCAATTTAAAATCCATTATTGCCTTTGAATAAATATCCGCGTATTTTGTCACTTGTTCAATGCATAAAGTCAATGCTTTAGCAGTTAAATCAGAACTTATTGTTTTCGTCACCTGAAATAGAAATTAATTTTCCATAAATTGTTTCCAAAAAAAAAAAAGAAAAAAAAAAGAAACCCTTACCTGTAAATTTTGATCGATCATTTGAAAAATAATAACCGGCGCTGCTGTATGATAATAAGTATCCTGTGTACTACTTTCCAAACTACCACTCCACCAATCAACTTTTTCCGTTTCCAATGTTTTTTTCATCCATTCCTCATAATTTTGATACATATTTCGCAAATATTTCTCCTGTAAATCGTCAATTATTTCTTTATTCAATAAAGGACCAATATCACTTGTATCGATATTTAATTCCGAATGTTTCATAAGTTCCGTTCCAGTATATGTATTCATTATCCAAGCGAGTAATGAAACATATTCATTACCCTCAAGTCCATTTGCAATAATATCCATTAAATGTTGCGATAAACTTGTATGATACATTTTTACAAATTTATCAACAATATCATATGAAGGTGGAAAACATGGTCCACACAATGTTTTAACAACACGAAGATCTTCCAATATTAAAAGTCGTGTTAATTCCAAATAACGAACAAGCCACATTTTATTATCTGAACGTTCATCAACTTGTGTGCCTTCAATTCGATTAGCCACTGATTTTTCTAATGTATTAATTGACATTTCCTTCCATTTTTTTGGTCGTCCCGGTGGCATAAAACCACTTTGACGATGACGTTGTATGGCAAAATGATCAGCTTTCTCCTCACGTTCAACAATTCTCAATGCAGTGACAATAACTGTTGGCTCTTTTCTCACTGTATTTAATGTACGACTCAAAACTAAACGAATTTGTTTCTCCATTAATTGTGAAAGTTTTTCAACATCTTCAAAATATGCCTTCAACATAACTGTATCTGGCATTGATTGATTTGGCAATTTGTGCAATTCATAGAGTAAATCATCTCTGAAATAGAAAAAAAAAATAATTTAATTTCCATAATAGAAAATAAAGGAAGGATCAATTCCATTTTATTTCTCGTTGCGGTTTATTTTTAGAAAAATTTGATATTTTGTATTAATTACTTTGAATATACGTACAATTAATTTTTGACAATTATTTTATGAAATTTTTTTTTTTATTTACGTTGAAATTTAATTTATTTTAGTTGTGTTGCACGAAAAATAGATTAGTTTGACAGCTTTGGAAATTTTAATTAAAAAGGACAGAAATAATTTAGTTAGTAAATTTTTTTTTCATTGATATTTGTTGAAAATAATCTAATTTACCAATGTTAATTGATAATTATGTAAAAAAAAAAGCCAAAATACTATGTGAAAATTAATATTCAACCTTATCTGTAAAATATAAAAATTTGTCAAATTTTATTTATATTTTTCAAGAAAGTTTATTAATATTTTAAAAATTTATTACTTATTATTACTTCGAATTCGTATTTTAAGGTGAATTTTTTAAAGTGAATAAAAATAAAAAGTAACTCGTTCTCGATCACTAAATTTTGATAAGATGAATAAAGAAGATTTAAATTAAATTTTAAAATCAAAATGAGATATTTTCATTAATCGTCTGCGAAGATATAAGTGTTTAAAATCAGATAAAATCCTGAAAAGTTCAAAATTTAAGGTAAAATTTTCTAATATTTCTATATTATAAAAATAAAAAGTAAAAGTACATGGAAAGTACTTACTATTAGGTAGTAATAAATTTTAAAATATTTATAAACATTCTTGAAAAATATAAATAAAATTTGACAAATTTTGACATTTTACCAGGTAAGTTTGAATATTAATTTTCACGTAGTATTTTGGCTTTTTTTTTACACAATTATCAATTAACATTGGTAAATTAGACTATTTTCAACAAATATCAATGAAAAAAAATTTAATAACTAAATTATTTCTGTTCTTTTTTTTAAAATTTCCAAAGTTGTCAAACTAACCTATTTTCCATGCAACTCAACTTAAAAACTAAATTTCAACGTAAATAAAAAAAAAAAAATCATAAAATAATTGTCAAAAAATGAATTGTACGTAAATATTCAAAGTAATTAATACAAAATATCAAATTTTTCTAAAAATAAACCGCAACGATACTATAGAGGTGAAATAAAATAAAATGATCCGGAAAAAAAAAAAATTACCTGGAATTTTCCAAATCCATTAGTGATTGATGAGCATGTAATAGTTTACCCTCATTAATCCATTGTTTTGTTTTTTCTACACTTTCAGGAACGGTGAAAATATGTTTTAAATTTTCTTTTGCTGTTACATATTGTGAATGACGCATACTTTCATCTTGAACAGCTTGTAATTTTGCATATAATTCAGGTGCAGTGCCAAATGATTTGCCAATTGTTAATAATTCTTCTTTAATTGAATAAACACTTTGCAATGAACTTTGTAATTGATCAAAACCAACGCGAACACCATCGAGTTGACTTTGCATTGCTGTTTTTAACATTGTTTCAACTGATGCTTTTTTACGACTTATTCTTCTTTTATATTGTTCAACTTTTTCCAATTGTCCCGGACGTTGAAGCATATTAACCACTTGTTTTGTTGCTGTTGCTCTTGCTTCATCCTCAAGTTTTTGTAAATCGTACATTATTTATTCTATAATTATTAATTTGAAATAGAAAAGAAAAATTGAAAAAAATAATTTCGATTGTAAAAAAAAACTTAATAAATAAACAAGTGTATTTTTTTGTATCTTAATTTATAATTTTGTTTTTTAATTTCTAAAACAAAATTAGTATACTGACCTTTAGTGTTAAAAAAACAATAATTAATTATTATAATATAAAAACAAACTTTGTGTTCATAACAGTAAACAATAATTTATTGAATTTTATTATTTATAAAATTTATCATAATATTAAATAAACAAATAGTGCTTTTTAATCAGTTTTTAAGACAAAATTTGACAGAATGACAGATTAAAATTTAGAGGTTAGGATCTGAAAATTTCCCCTGCGTGAATATATTAGTAACTAAAAAATAGCGCCAATTTTTTAAATTTTAAATAAAAATCTAGCAAATAGTAAGTATTCTAATTCTAAATGAAGACTAAAAATTTTAATTTTAAATAAAATTCAAATTGATTATGAAAATTATTACAAAAATACTTTATTACGATTTTTTTTCGAAGTAACATTAGAAAAACTGGTACTTTTTTTACAATACAGAAACTTAAATAACATTTTGTTTTTACATATATGTAAAATCGAGTATTATTATTTTAACATAAAAATTTGTCTCAATCTCAGTATTTGTTTTTTTGTTTTTTTTTTTTTTTGGTTTATAACATTAGAAATCACAGATAAGCTTGCCATCCAAAATATAATCGACTTAATAATGCTGGATCTCTCGCCTGTTGAAGAAGTCTTTCAATTTGTCCCTCGATACTTGATGGAAGAGCTTCCTCCATGCCGGTTAATTTTTGTTGCACTCGAACCAATGCTCTCTTGGCAATTTTATTTATTTCCAAATCTAAAATTAAAAAAAAAAAAAAAATTTTTTTGATAAATTAAATAATAATTTTCAAAAAAACATTTATTAAAATAATTACCACTATCGAGAATTGCAATAGAATTAGTGCTTCGACACATTGATGATGGGGTTATTGCCCATGTGAATAGAGGATCATAAAGAAGAACTTGAAGAAGAGTTACAATAACTTCCTTTTGTTCGCGAAGAACTTTCATTGTTTGTTCACAACATCGTCTCATTACACCCTCGACACCCGATATTCCCATTGCCACTTCAATATCTCGTGTTAATCGAAATGGAATTAATTCCGGCACTGGTAACACTTTACCTTGCTCGAATGCTATTCCTAAAAATTTAATTTCAATTAAATAATTAAAGACATATTTTAAATAAATAATTAAATATAGTGTAAAAAAATTTTGAAAAATTATTAACATACCGAAATCAATGTGAATCACTTCCGCTGTTATTTTATCAAGAAGAATATTTAACAAATGTCGATCACCAATACCAAGAATGTAGCCAACAATAGACGTGACGGCGACACTGAAATTTTTTTGCAAATGAAATATAAATTTTAAATATCGAATTATTCGACTTTTTTTTTTTACCTTCGAGTATAGGCAAGCCTTCTCTCGAACCAAGTCTCAGGTGATAAATAAGTTTCCGTAAAAAAATGATGAAGAGATGGAGTTCTGTGTTTACAGCATTCCATATATGCCTTCAGTCTAATATCATTCGATCGTTTCGATGAACCCTTAAATTAAAAAAAAAAATCGTACAATAAAAAGATAAAATAATTGAAACTTTTTATAAACTTACTTCCATTATTTCACGACATTTTGCAATTGGATAATCATTCGGATAATATTTTTTATGAATTCCTCCATTTTTACCTCTACCGAGTAAAATTTCCTGAATTGGCATTGTATTTTCACACCATTCTAAAATACCCGATCTTTGTGTTAATGGTACCACCTAAAAATATAATGATCCATTAAATAATTCGAAAAATTAAAGAAACAAATATAACAAAGAGAGAGAAAAAAAAACCTTGTAAGTTCTAACAACTAATTTTCTCTGTTTCGTTTCCTTTCTCGTCTTCAGCAATAAATTCATAACGGAAAATACTTGTTGCATTACTGCATCCTGTCTAAGATCATCTTGACCCTGAAAAAAAAACAACTTATTTATCCCGTATACAAAATTTGATAACTAAAATTATGTAATTAAATTTTTCCTTACTTTAACCAATTGTATTCTTTGAATTCCATCAGTTCCAATACAAATAATTTTCTTTGGCGCATTTATTCCGCCAACAGTTTCAAATGTATTTAAATATTTACTAACACCAATTACATCATCGTAATTTTTATTTGCTCTCACATCCAATGTAATAGTTGGTACAATTGCATTTTCAAAATTTTTCACTCTCAAAATATCTTGATTACGAGGAATATTATATTTCTCTGTAAAAATAAAATTTTTTTAATAAAAAAAATTTCAAAACAAAATTTAAATATATATCAAAAAAAAAATACTCACGAGCTCCGAGGGCAATTTTAAAATAAGCCAATTGTACCAAAGCAAGTGACAATTGTTCCATTTCACTAACGATATTACTAATTTTATTTGATTTCGAAAGTTTTTTCAATAATTTTATTGCACCAACAACTCTTGCCTCAATTTTATTATGTTTCTGTCCTTTTGTCGTGTATTTTAAATCTTCATATAAATGTTTTAATGCCAATAAAACAGGTAATGCATGAAATGGATGATCAAGTGCGCATCTTTCTAAAATATTATTAATTTTCACTGAAAAATCATCATCCTCATCGCTCATATGAGCAGCCAATTGCGGTAGCATTTGTATAAATTTATAAGTTGCAATTGTCGGTAAATATTCATCAAGAATTTCATTTAATTTCGTTAGTCCAATATTGTCAAGCCATAAAGAAACAACACGAAAAATAATAAAATTATGCTCCTCGCTTTGTTGCAACGTTTTCACGTAAAATCTGCAAAAAAAAAAAAAATTATTTCAACAAAACTAGAAATATTTTTATTTTTGAAATTAAAGAAAAGTAAATATACTCTAAAGCAAGGGTAAGATAATAATTCTTCTCCTTTTCAGTTTCCTCGAGTGACAATTGATCGATAACAGTTTGTTTTTTATTTTTTGCAACTGCAATTCTCACGTCACGATCTTGTATTGCAAAATCGTGTCTATTTGTATCCAATGATAATTCGGCAATTTTTCTCATACTATCAAATTCACTTGACTGCATATAATTCTTTAATTGTCGATAATGAACATCGGCAAAACGCGCCAATGCCGCTTGTGTATTATTTAAATTACATAAATCTTGTGACGATGGTTCATCAATTTTCATAAATGTTTTTATTGACTCAAGATAATATTTTTTTATAATTCTTTGACGATTCACCGATTGTGTTTCCGTCATCCAGTTACCATAGATATGCAATAATTCCGCATGAAGACGTTGATTGTTATTTGTTTGATTTATCAATTGTCGTAAAAGTGAACGCGCTAAACTTTCATCCTTATTTAACCAGGCAATTAATGATTCTTGATAGTGTAATTGATTACGAATTTCAATTGATAATTTATTTTCCTTTGCCAATGTACCTAAAAAAGAAAATTTAGAAAAAAAATTCCATTTTTTTTGTTTATTTTAGAAATTTACCTAAAGATCGTGATGCTTCTTTGAGAAATCCTTGTTTCGATGCAATTTCCGCAATTTCCAAATAAAATTCAATAAGCGAGTCTTTTAAAATGGAATTATTTTTAAAAGAATCTTGAATTTTACATAAAACACTTCGTTGCCAAAGAAGTGGTTCAATGTATTGAAATTCACCGTGTCGAATATAATCCTGTGATTTCCAATCGGTGATGATTTTTTCATAATTTTCCGCTTCAGTTGAACTTAATTCCTCAATTTCTTGAAGCATTCGCAATTTTGATAAACTCGGATAAACTGCTTTACAACTTTCTGAAAAAAAATGAATAAAAAATAGATTTTTTTATAATTTGACAATAAAATCAAAGAAAATAACTTACCAGAACTGATGTTTCGTAAATCTTTAATGATAATTGAGCGTGCGGATTCAAGAGAGGAATTTAATATCAAAGAATCATTTTCGTGAAAAGACTTTAAACATTTGTAATGATAGTAAGAAAATTTATTCCTATTCAAATCATTTTCTTGATTTTCTGAATTCGAATTAATTAAATTCCAATTTCCAAGACGCCATGCGCATTCATATTGAAAATCATCAATTTCCGACGTATTTTTTGCTGTATTTTTTATAAATTGACTCAAAAGAAATTGATAACCAGAATTTTTTAAAACATCCATCATACCTGAAATATTTTTTTTTTAATTAATACTAAATTTCTTTTTTTGCAAATATTAAAAATTATTCTCACCATTAATAGAATCATTTCCATTCGTTAATTTTGAATCCTCCAATATCACCATTTGATCCATTTGTTGAAGATCAGATAAATATTGTAATCTTGCATTACGATCTTTTAAATGATCTGTACCACAACCAAAAACAGCATCTGGATCACCAATTTTAATACTCGCTTCACGTATTATATCCTTGCAAATTTTTCCCTCTATTTGATTTTTATTATAAATCCTATCAATTAACAATGAATTTTCAATATTACGTTTTCCATTTAAAAAATTTTCACACCACAATTCAACATATAAAATTGATGTGAAATACGCCGAACAAAATTGTGCTGCTTTTGCAATTGGTAAATAATCAAATTTCAATTGAACTGAATCATCTTGAATACGTAGAAAATTCACTAAATTCAACATATATCTCAATGAATCTTGATTACATAATTTTTGTCCCACACAATTATTGGAATTGGATTGAAAAAATTTATTAATACAATTACAAAAATCATACGCCAATGTTGTATCATCACGTATAATAATATTAACAATACGATAAAGTATTTCCTCACAAAATTGTAAACTATTTTGAAATATTGGTATTAAATTTTCCAAATAAAAATTACAAAATATCTCTGCAATTGAACAACTAAATTTACTTATCCAATTGAAATACGATTGATTCAATTGATTATTCCATAGACAATTATTGGGATTACATAATTTACGAAATTTTCCCCTTTCAATTGCAATGCGATTTTTCATTAATTTTTCATTAATTAAAAATGGTTTTATTCTTTCAATAGAAAGTCGACTTTCTTTTTTATTTAAATTATTTTCAAATTCCTCAAGATATTTTTGATTTAAAAGCTTTTTTCCCCATGATGAATTAACAACTGCGTAAAGTGCAATTGTACTTGATTTTCTCAATTCAATATCCTCATCAATTATATAATTTGAGAGAAAAATTAATATTTTATATGTGAGTGTTTCAATTTTATCGGTTGATTCTTTAATTTCAATTTTCTCTTGATGTAAAATCATTGTTGTTAAATCGCCAGGACCAAGAATACCAAGGCATTTGACTGCTTCTTGAGAAATGTTTGTATCTGATGATTCGGTTAATTTTACAAGACGATAAATTAATTGATGAACAACACTTGAAGCTGAATCCTCGGCAAAACCACGTAAATTCTCCAAATTTTTATATAAATCATTTAATTCCTTCTTTTTTGTTATGAGTTTTCCTTTTAACAATAAAAGACTACTGGCATTACTTGGTAAATTAATTTCCTCGGTGACATTCAAAAAATCTTCAATTTCACTTGACAATGTTAATTTTACTTTTAAACTCTCATGAATAGTATAAATTTCTCTAAAACATTCGATTTTTGGAAATGAATTCAATTTTTTAATAACATCACTAAACACATGTTTTTGTTCAACAATTAAAAAATGTAATGTTTCAAGTGCAATTGATATTTCATTAATTGCAAGTGGTGTTAATGTTCGTACAATAAAGACAAAAAATTCCTTAATACCATTCGATCTTTCAGGTAGAATTTCAATTAAAAATTCATGAAAATATTGACAGGCAAATTCAACAAGTTTTTCATTTTTCATTAAATGTAACAGCGTATAGGAAATATCGCGAATTACAAAAATTGCCATATCATTGAAATAAGTTTTCTTCAATTCTTTCATTATTAGTGTACAAAAATACACATATTGATAAAATACTTTTAATTTATTATTATCATTTGTCTCATAAATTTTACAAGTCAATGTCATGAGAATTTTTTGTAAAATATTTCTCTTTTCATTTATTAAATAATAAATTAAATTATCTCCATTAAATAATTCATTTTCAAGAAATTGAAAACATTTTTCTAAATCCACTGTTTTTAATCTCATTGGAATTGATGCGGGAAATGTGATATTCACATGAAAATGTTTCAAAAAATCTTCCTCATCATCTAGACATTGAATTAAATTCACTATTAATTGTTCCAAAGTTTCATTAACAATTTCTTCAAATTTACAATTGACATTTTTAAAATTTCCTCTATTATTTTTTAATTCTTCAAACATTTTTTCTGACCACATTTCTTGTTTTGCCATATAAAATAATAACCAGGCAAAAAGTTTAGGAAACGATTTTTTATATTCTTCTTGGAAATTGAGATTGAATTTATCACAAATTTTCATTACTTCCACAATATTTTGTTTAATAATAGGAATATGCATTTGTTCAGAAAATGATGATGATGGCGATGATTCAATAATTGACCATGGAAATGTATCAATTGATTTTTCTGAACACCATTCAAGTAGAAGAAAATCAAGATTTTGTTCAAAAGAACAATTTCCAATTTTTAAAATTTTTCTTATCATTTCAATTGACACTTGTTGTTTAATATGAAATTGTAATAATATTGTGAGAATTTGATATTGAAAATTATTACAACCACTTAAAATTGCTGCAATTATATAAAGTGTACTTATAAGTTTTTCATCTTTTTTTTCTAATTCATCTCGATTAATAATTGTCATTAATTTCTCATAGAATTGTCTTTTTAATGTAATATCAATTTTAAATGATGAAAAAATTCTATAAACACAACGTGCCATTTCAAGGCGTACAATAAAAAATGGATTATCCACATAATTAAGAATTAATTCAATCATTGAAATATCTTGCGATAAACTTTTAAATGTAACATCAATTTCAAACATTTTTCCCATACATTTCAAAAAATCCCAATGCACCATTGTACCATACATTTCTTTTTTAATATTTCTATCAATTTCCAATAGAATCGATTGAAATTTCTCTGAGAATAATTCAATTTTCGTCACTTGTTTATAGAATATTGGTAATATTTTTAAAATATAACGAACAATTTTTGGATTACGATAAAATGTTGAAAATAAAAGTAATAAATATTCAATAAGATATTCTAAAATATCTTCCTGTATAATAATATCACGTGTTATTATTTCTAAAATAATTGTAGCAATTTTAATATCAATATTTGTTGACATTTCAGTGATATTATTTCCAATAAGACTTCTAATTAATTCCTCTTGTATTTCATTCATTTTTGAATTAACAGTAAGTGATGCATAATTTTTTAATGTTCTTGTTACACGTAATTTGAGAATTGTCTCCTTTGGAAGTTCAACTAATGGCAATTCAATGGGAAAATCAGCACTAATTGTCTCATTAATATTTGGACATGGAAACATTGATGCTTCTTGAATGGAAAATTGTTCAATTGTTAAAATACAATAAATATTGCTCAATGATTTTTGACTGATACATGATAATATTATTTCACTAACTTTATTATTATATGTAGTTTCAAAAAAAGCACTCAATGCATTTAAAATTATTTCCACATCTGCTAAACGATATTTTGAAAAGTCAATTGTTTCTAAAAAATTGAAAATTTCCATTAATGAATCATGAATTTTATCATAAAGACAATTATCCTCGAAATTCATATCAGAAATTGTTTTTCCAACAATCATATTTTTAATCACACAATTGGCAATTGTGGAAAAATTCACATTATCTTGAAGAAAATTACAAAGTTCAGAAATAATAAAATCCAAATCATCTTTTTTCCATAATTGTGAAAATTTGCCCTTAACAATTTTATCCTGCGATATTTTTAAATCATCAAATAAATCAATTTCCAAAAATTGTGACATATGACAATTATTTATATCAAAAAGTGATATTTGTTTGATATCATTGAGAAGACTTGTTTCATAACGTATTGGAATTGAACATTTTTTATTTAATTTCGAATCCTTACACCATTGTAAATATGGAAAATATGAGAGAATTTCACTAAGTTCATTTAATGGAAATTCAATGAAATTTAATTTCCAAGGTATATTTAAAGCCCATTTGCATAGTTGTCGTTTTAATGGTTCAGTTGAGAGAATTTCATCGGTTTGAGATGAAATTTTTTCTGGTATTGTTGTATAACGACAAAGTAAAAATAATGTTCGTACACTATTAATTGACCATTTCATTGCACGTGTTACAAATGCACGTATAAGTATATCATAATTTTTAATTTTACCTCTTTCAATTAATAATTGAATTAATTCATGACTGTATTGATCATTTTCAATTGAATGCATACAACGTAATAGTGAATATAAAATTTCACTGTCCAAATTTTTATCATCAATATAATCAATTTTTTCAATAAATTTCTCATTTATTGGTAACATAACGATTGTCAATTGACAAAGGCTATTGAGAATAAATTGATTTTCGGATAATTTGGAAAAAAATTTTTTTACAATACCTATTAATTCAATGAATTCATTTGAATCAAATGTATCGGGATATTTTTCAAGAACATTGGCTAAAATTTGTATCATTGGCCAAGCAAGTTTTATTTCATTTTGATTTATTGTATTGATGAGAATTCCACTTTTTACATTAAGACGACGTTTTTTTGTTGAATGAACATATTCGCCATCGTATTCAGAATTAAAAATTGTTGATTGATCATTTTTTGGAAGTTTGTTAATTTGTCGAAAAACTGAAAAAAAGGTTTTTTTTTTTTTATTATTTATCAAAAAAAATAATACATTTTTTCTTTCTTACCTGCTGATGCAAAATGAATGAAGGGCAAGGATAATATTTCAGCACGTGATTCTTTAACAATCATTGAAAACATATTTTCCAAAATATGTTGCCATTCTTTTATATTTCGAGCGTAAAAAACTGGATTCATAAATGTTACACCATTTGGATTGTGTGCTTCAATTAAAATAAGAAATAAAATAAATTTTTCTGTTCGTCCCTCGAGAAATACAATATTTGGCAAGATTTTTTCGCCAAAATCACATAATTCTAAACGACCGTCAATTGCAATTTGTCGACATACTTTTGTTGCCAATTGAAAAGTTGTTGCTGCTAATGTTTCATTAGATTTGGCGCTTCTGAAAATTTCTTCTGAAATTTTGCAAAAAAAAAAAATGAAAATTGAAAATTAAGTGTAAAAATAATTATTTTATATTGAGACAAAAAAAAAAAGGAAAATTTACCCAAAATTGGAAGAAATTTTTTCAAAACTAATGTCATATGAGATTCCAAACAGCCGTATTCAATAATGGATAAAATTGTTTTCAACAATAGACCCTTGCCTCTGAATGATGTTTGATTTGGATAAAGATTAACACAAACACGTAATAAATTTTGCCAATTTTCCGATGAAAAACGAATACGACAAGCATAAACAGGAAGAATATTGACTCGCAATGCTTTTAAATAAATATGATGACAATAGGTATATATTTCTTTATCCAATATTTCCGAAACAATTGATGAAAAATCCATTTTTGTCAACATCATATTTGAATTTTCAAATGTTTGTTGCGCCAAATTACTTATTTTTGTTTTATTACCAACCGCTTTTCCCATACCCTCCTAAAATTTTTAATAATTTTAAAATATTCAAAAATTTCAAGAAATATTAAAAAAAAAAAATTAAAATCACAAAATGTAGTTTCAATTAAAATTAAACATTTTCAAATTGTTTAATCATTAATAATTTAGATTTTAATTACGTACATCGATTATTATTTGTTGAACAATGTTCATTATTTGATTCCATGTTACACTGTCAGCTATATCTTCGACAGTATTAAAACTAATTTCTTTGATGACTTCTGGATTTTCGTATAAACTCAATATATTGTCTATAGCAATCTAGAAAGTATTAAAAAAAAAAAACAATAATTTGTTTTTTACATGCGATTTTTATTTTTTTATTTTATATTTATATTATAAATTATATATTTTGTTTTATAAAAAAATGTCATATAAATAAATAATTACAATATTAAAAACCGGCGTTTGCTGACAACAAATTGCGTCATTAAAGAAAAGCACATTGAATTTAAAATCAAAAATAAAAAAAAAACATACCTTTTTATTAGTGAGTTTTCCATTTTTTAAATCAGTTAAAAATAAAGATAATTGCTTGGAGAAAGACATTATTTTTCTCTATTGTTAATATAAACTTGTTTATAATTCTAACCTCCAAATTGCAAATTTTTTTTAAGAATAAAATTTAACACACATATATGAAATAATTCACAATTTTAATAACATTTTTGAGTTAAAAAATACTTTAAAACACGACTTTTAATCCTTTTAATTATAATTTTACATTTTTCAACCGGTTTTTAATCGCACTACATTGTTTATTTGTTTATATTTACTCAACCCTGGAAAATTAAAAAAAAAATTTTATCTTCTTAACCCTGGCGCGACACTAGCGCCACTCGGCCATTTAGTTCACTTCAATCGTCAACCATGGGTCGTATGCACGCACCTGGGTAATTAATTACTGATTTTTTCATATTTTTTTCATTATTTGATTGATTTGAAAGAGTTAATAATAATTAAAATGTAAATTTTGAATATTGTGCTAATAGTGAAAGTGAAATAATTGTTTATTGCCTCTTATCTTGATTAAGAGAATGTTTTTTACCAAAAGAGCGTTATCAAGCCATGTGCCATGTGTTTTTATACATATTTAATCAACTTTTTATTCATTTTTTATAATGAACTTTTATTACATTTTTTTATTGTTATTGTCTTTTTGGTTTTTTTATTAAAAGTCATTCGTTAATGTTTTATTTAGTTAAAAATGTGTTGTTTATAAAAAGTCCCAATTTTTTAGGTTATGTAAAGTGACGTATACGTATATTTATTTTTTCTGTTGAAATTAACCCTAAATTTTTTAAATTGTAAATAATGGCTAATTTTAAACAATTTTTATTCTAATTATATAATTATTGTTATATATTATTATTATATATAATAATTATTTTTTCGTGCTTTTTTAGAAAGGGTATATCCCAATCAGCTTTGCCTTATAGACGAAGTATCGCAACTTGGCTGAAACTTACTCCAGAAGACACGAGAGATTTAATTTTTAAATTGGCCAAAAAAGGCCACACACCAAGTCAAATTGGTAAGTTTTATTTAATTTTCGAAAATTAATTTTTAAATTACAATTTAATTCTTTTTTTTCAAATTTTAATTTTTTTTTTTTTTTACAGGTGTTATTTTGCGTGACTCTTATGGTGTTGCACAAGCACGTTTTCGTACGGGAAATAAAATTCTCAGAATTCTCAAAGGTTTGGGATTAGCTCCTGAAATTCCAGAAGATTTATATCATTTAATAAAAAAAGCTGTGGCAATTAGAAAACATTTAGAGCGTAATCGCAAAGATAAAGATTCAAAATTTCGTTTGATTCTTGTTGAATCACGAATTCACAGACTCGCACGTTATTATAAACAAAAATCTGTTTTGCCACCAAGTTGGAAATATGAAAGTTCAACAGCAAGTGCTCTTGTTGCTTGAATAATATTAAAATTTTCATCATTTTTCAATAAATAGATTTTATCAATTTTCTCGCTTTTTTTTTCATTTAATATTTCATTCTGTTTTTTTTATTATATAAAAATATAAAATTAAAAAAAATCTTTTAAAGTGTTTAAATGATATAAAATAATTTGAAAAATTTCATTTATCGAAAAAATTATTCGACTTTATTTTCATTTTTTATAAATCTACAAAATTTATATTAAAAATAGAAAAAAAAATAACGGAAGTATGAAAATTTTAAATTTCTTCTAAGGAAGACCTTGTTTTTGCATCCAAGTTGATCTTTCGTAAAATTTTGGATCTCCAATTTTTAATGAAGATCTTTTGTAAAAATAGTAATAAAAAACAGCAACTAGAAAATTGTAATATAATTTAAAAAAGCGAATTTTCGAAAATATTATAAATTAGAAAAATAAATATTTACCGGCTCGTTGAATAAAATATAAACAATGAAAACCATTTGTCCAATAGTGATTAAATGGATTTGGCCAATGTATTGTCATATGCCATGAATGTAATCCTATACTTAAAATTACATAAATAACACACAATACAAGTGTCATGCGAAATTTCGTATAGAGCAATTGTATTAATCCAACCTAATTGAAAAAAAAAATCCATCACTAGTAAAAGTTATAAATTAATTAAATTTCATTAAAAAATAATATTTACCTGAAAAATATATGTGGAGAAAAAACTAGCGAGCATAATAGTTAAAGCAACTATTAAACAAAAATCCTGAATTCTAAAAAATAATTAGTAATTAAATAAAAAAAAATTATATTAAATAATTAGAAATTAAAATTAAAATAATTTAATTTATAATAAAAATATAGTGTTCACTCACACATAAAGAACAAGTAAATCAACTGGTCTAGGTCTCGCAAAACTGGCAAAAGAATTAATAGAAATATCAAAAATTAATAAAGTATATTGAAAAAATAATATCGCAGAATATTTTCTCTGCGTTAAAATATTCATTTAAACGACAAATAAAAAACACAAAACTATTGTTTGCCACTGAGAATCAAAATGTTACCATAGCAACTAGGATATTTTTTACCGGAATTCTAATTATAATGTGAAATTTAAACCAAAAAAGTACAACAATCACTTTGTATTTTTGTCTATTCAATTTTCTGCTTTGATAATTATTAATTGTTAATTAATAATTTTTAATTGTTTTTGGAAAAAAAAAATTTTTGGAATTTAAAAACATATTTAAAAATACGCGCGTCAATTTGGACTAATCACAGTGCTTCCATCTGTCGATGTTAAGAAAATCGATTATGTCGGCCATTTTTTTTTTCTATCAAGCGTGTGTTTTCATTGTTCTTTTCACGTTTAACCATCAAAAATGAAGTAAGTTGTTGTGCTAATCCAAAGAGGAAAATCCACAAATATCATTTAAATCGTTGATATTTTTATTAAAAATGTCAAACAAATTCAATTTAAATGCATTGATAATTAATTTCATCTTAATATTTTCAGGATCGGTCTTTGTGCGTACAGTGGATATAAAATTTATCCAGGCCATGGAAAAACCATGGTTAAAGTTGATGGAAAGGTATGTATAAAAAAAAATTTCTTTTTTCTTAAAAAATGCTTATTTTAGAGAAAGTAAAATTTTCTTTCGAGATTTCATTTTCTTTAAACAAAAATCTTATAAACAATTTTGTTTTTATACATAACCTCTCTTTCCAGTCATTCACTTTCCTCAACTCAAAATGTGAATCCGCACATCTTATGAAGAGAAATCCAAGAAAAGTGACATGGACCGTTTTATACAGGTAAAAAAAATAAATTTAATTTCATTATTTTTTTAATGTATAAAAAGAAAGTAAACATTGCGAAATTTCGAACATAACCTCAAAATGTAACGCAAGCTGTCATTGCCTATAAATTATGTTTTTAATTTTCCCTAATTTTTGTTTTTTTTTTTGATTAATTTCATTTGTGAAGGAAAAAATATTTTTGTTTAGACGTAAACATAAGAAGGGCCAGGAAGAGGAGCAAACAAAAAAAAGAACACGTCGCACTCAAAAATTCCAGCGAGCTATTGTTGGCGCTTCTTTGACTGATATTTTGGCTAAACGTAATATGAAGCCAGAAATTAGAAAAGCACAAAGAGAACAAGCTGTTAAGTAAGTTTATTCATATAGAAAAAAATAATTTTTAATTTAAAATTTGAATAAAAAAAAAAGAAAATTTTCTTTTCGAATTAGACATCTGTTCCTCTGGCAAGTAATTTAATTTCTTGTTAGTTTTCAGAATGTCTTAGATTAATTTTCAGGACTGCTTCACCCAGAATTGTGGCTAAAATGCAATCACGCTGTCTGGCTTTGCGGGTTCAAACACCTATAAACTTATAAATTATTTAAGAATTTAATTTTTACATTAAAAAATTAATGGAAATTTTTTTTTTATTTTCCAGGGCCGCAAAGGAACAGAAAAGAGCAACGAAGGCCTCTAAAAAGGCCGCGGCTCCTGTGAAGCCAAAGGCAGCGCCAAAACAAAAAGCGGCGAAAGTAACGCAAAAGAGTGCCCCACGAGTTGGAGGTAGACGATAAATTTTTTTTTATTGTATAGGGGAAAATAAAAAATAAGTGTCAGTCACTTAATTCTTCGTTTTTTTTTAAAAATTCCTTTTTTTTTTTTAACAGAAATAAAATCAATTTTCATTGAATTTCAGTGACACTTTTTTTTATTAAAATTGAGAAATAAATATTAATATAGAAATCTATTGTGAAATAAATTAAATTTTTTTTTTTTTTTAAATTTATTAACAGTAAATTTTTAAAAAAAATTACATTTTTTTTCTAATATAATTAATTTTTGGACATTTCTTTCTTGAGAATTGACAATTTTGTGAGAGCCGTGTCTCTCCATGCGCGTCTTTCTTGAAGTTTATCAAGTGGACAAATTTTATTTAATTGTTCACTTATTTTTTTTGCCATTTCACCCTCGAATTTTGGAACAGGACCAAAGGATTTACTTACATTGTAAATTCCATTCGCGTAACTTTCGCAATATTTTTTCATTCCTGCAAGAGAAAAAAAAAAATTGGTAAATTTTGTAAAAAAAAAAGAAATTTTAAAATGCCTCTTTTTTTACCTTCCGCGTTAAGATGAGCAGTTTCCAAAGCTCCAAGAAAAGCGTAACGCATTCCAAGTCCTTCGCTCATTACTGTATCGACATCTTTAACGTCTAAAATTCCATCAGCGACTAAACGCCAGACTTCATTTAAAATAGCGTATCTAAATCCAAAATTTTGTATTAAACATATGAATAACGTATTTTTTAGTTTTTTCGAAAATAATGAAAATTTTATTCTTTGACTAAATTATTATGAATTTAAAATTATTTTTTAACTGTATTCTGTTGAGAGCAAATCCATCGATTTCTCTGCTAAGAACAACCGGTGCTTGGCCAATTTCAATCATTATTGCTTTAGTTTGAACAGGAATTTCCGGTCTTGTCCATGGAGCCGGTACAATTTCTACAAGAGGAACATAATATGGGGGATTCACCTAAAAAAAAAAATTAAATTTAGAAAAAAAAAGATCTTTCTTATTGATAGAAGAAAAAAATTTAATCTATATTCGTTATGTTTAAATGTTAAACAAGCAATTCTAATGATCTTAAGGTCACATGACTTGTGATATCAACATTCTGCTACAAGATAGTAAAGCACTAATCTATGATAAGAAAAATAATTGCAAAAAAAATGATATTTTCCAATTACAATCTAAAAGGGAAATTAAATTTATAACAATTAAAAACAATTTTCATTTAAAAAATAAGAAAAAAGAAATTAACTCACTGGATGAGAGATAATAATTTGTCCACGATGCTTTAAATTTTCGCTGAAAAGTGAAGGTTTAAATGTGGATGTTGATGAGGATAAAATAACGCTATCATCAACAATTTTGTCAAGTTGTGCATAAACTTTTTTCTTAAGTTCCAAATTTTCTGGAACACATTCTTGTATTAATTTTGCACCATTTGCCATTTCTTTCATATCGGATGTTCCTATTATTTAATTAAATAATTATTTTTCATTTTTAAATAAAATATATATTATTTTCTAATTATATTTTTACTGAATTAAAAATAAAAAATTATAAATATTTTTCAATTATAAAAGCTAACCCTTGATGAGATTAAATTGTTGTTGTGCTGACAACGTCCCTCTTAAAAGTTTATCACTTTCTAATCGATTTAATTGTTGTTTGATATCTTGTAATGCATTTGTGATTTGTTCTTCGATAATATCGTAAATTATTACTTGATATCCAGTGCCAGCAAAGAGCATTGCCCAACTGCGACCAATTAAGCCACTAAAAATTTTAAATAAAAGAAAATTTAATTGTAAAATTTGTTTTAATAATATTTTAAATAAGAAAATATAACTAAAAAAAATTTTAACAAGAAAATTGAGTTATTAAACTTTTTCCTTATTGAAAAGGAAAGGATTGGTTTTTTTTTCCATCTTGCTGTTATTTAGTCATAAAATATTTTTATAAAAATAAACATATTAAATGTTTTATTGCTTATTAAAGATTTTGCAAGAAATAATTTTTACAAATTGTTGAACAATTTACATAAAAATTTAAATGTGAGACAATTTTCAAGAGGGAATTCTTTTAAAATGAGTAAATTTTAATAAAAAATAAATTTTTTAATTGTAAACTAATTATTAATATTTAAAAATAAATTACAATGAAAAGTGTTTAATTTATTAAATATTATTCATTTTTCTTTAAACAGTTTTAATATTCTAAATAAAAATTAAATTATAATAGAAAATTTGATATTTAATTAATTTTCCAATAATTATATATTTAAATTATTTAATTTTACATAATTGGATAAATTAATTTTAACTTACCTTCCAATGATGCCAATTTTTTCTTTTTTCATTGCAGCCATGTTTTTTTTTTTTTAATAAATAATAAAAAAATAAAACACTTTTTTCAAGGAGAACGAAATTGTCGTTACAGTGTTAAAGTTTCAACTGTTTCATTATATAGAGTATGGCTGCGTAAATATATCCTGTGGTTCCCCCCCCCCCTTTTTTTAACAATAAGATAGTACTAATATATCTTATCTTCTGTAGAATAATTTCATTCAGATAATTAATTACTTAATATTAATAAAAATTTTGCACTATGTAATTCAATTTTTTTATTTAATTTTAATCTTTAAACTTTTGCAAACTGTTTTCTTTTCAATTTATATAAGTTTTGAATTTCAATTTTAAATATATGCGAAATAGTGAAAGTGAATCCAAAGAAGTGCGAAACTTGTCCTGAAATCGATGAAAGAAAATAATTTTTCTTTTATCATTTTTTAAAATAAAATTTTTAAAGAAAATATTTGGTAAAAAAAAAAAGTATTTTGTACGCATTATTTTCCAAAAAGATTATTATTTATTAAATTAATGCATATGCGGCACTTGTGGTGTTAATAAAAATATAAAATTTAATTACAAATATTAATTACAGTTGATGATCGATAAAAAAAAAATATTGTTACAATTTCTATTACAATACGAGAAATAATATTTGAAAATATAATGACAAAATGTTACATTTTTGGCATAAATTATGTTTTCTTTTTCGGGGAGTTTTTTTTTTTTTTTTTTATTACAATGACTAAAGATATTGAAAAAAAGTGTATCTTAAAAAGAAAAATTAGTCTATTATAAATTACGATTAATTATCTAATTATTAATTAATAATGAAACGATTAATTAATAATTAGCTTATTATAATTCATAGTTTATTAATTATTATCTAATATAATAATAATTATAATATTGTATTTTCCAAATTTACTCAATTTTTGGTAAAAGAATCATTTTCTTTTTTTTCTAACATTGTACAAATTTAATTTTGTGATTCTTCTTAGAAGAAAAAGATTTTGCTTTTCTTTGAGATTATTAAAAAAAAAAACTAGGGACAATTTTTTCTTTTTTTTTTACGATTGATGATGCCGCGAATCTGTGCAAATACCAACGGCATTATCTGCACAAACACACGATCTTCCTCCATGTCCATCAGGCAAACAAATTTGTTCTTTGCTACATCTTCCATTCTCATATTGACATACATTTGAAACTGCAAAGAATTCGAATTTTATTGAAAAAAAAAAAAAATTGAAAATAATTTTAAATATTAAAAATATTGTTTATCAAAGTGTAAGAGATTTAAATTTAATATTACCCCTAGGACATGCTTCAGGAACAGCAGCAATTCCATATAATTTTCCACTTCCTCCAGCAGGAATATTTAAAGGTTCACGCCTCTGTCTATTGTTCTTTAAAGCAACTTCAATTGTTTTTCTGTAAAGAATACATAATTTTTAATTACTTTTATCCTAAAAAAGAAATACATGAGTTCTTTTTCAATAATTTTTTTTGTAAATAGAAAATTTTCTATAAAAAAAAAAAAGGATTTTTATCTCACGTTTTCCAATCGGTCCAGTAATAATGATTCTGCGATATTGCCACCGCAAAAGGATATGGTAATGATTCAGCAATTGTATGTATGTATTTCGTGTCAATCTGCGCACAACCTAAAAAAAAATTGTCAATTTTTAATTATTATTATTATTATTATTATTATAATTCTCAATTTATAATAATTTTTCTATTACTAATTGTGGCAGTTCCAGCATCCGCCCAACATAATTCATCAGTGTCCCAATCAATTGCCAATGAATTTGGCAATTTAACATTATCGCCTTGTAGAAAAATTTGACGACCACTTCCATCTTCGTTTGCTATTTCAATTTTCGGTGACTGACGATTCCAGTCGGTCCAAAAAATTTTACTAAAAAAAAAAGAAAAGAAAAATTGCAAAAATATATTATAAATATCGTAAAGAAAAAAAAAATGGAAATTTCTAATTATACCCGCGATGGGGATGAACTGCAATTCCTCGAGGATTAACTAAACCGGTTTTAACCAGGACTTTGCGTTTTTTCGTCTCGACATTCGCAACTTCAACGGTGCATTTAGCTGAATCTGTCCAAAATAAATTTCGAGAAATCCAATCCATTGCAATGCCCTCGGCACTTGTTATTCCCGTTATGAAATTCTCCACTTTTGTTCCATTATAATTTAACGACATAATTCTATTTCCTTTTAAAAAATTTGAAAAAATCAAAATGTAATTTTTAACTACAAATTTTTTAAAAAAAAATTAATATTGATAATTTGTACCAATAATATCGATGGTATAAGCTTTTCCATGTGTGCAATCAATAGCGACAGCAATAGTCATTTGATTATATTGAACCATAATTGGACTTCCGGGTTTATCACGAGTTGGAAAAAATGGAATTCGATGAATTGCCGTTCCTTGATTAACAAGTAAAAAATTAGCTTCATGCGTTGGAGTTGGTCGACAATTTACTCCATCGCCAATATAACCATCATGACAAACACATGTAAATTGTTGATGTCCTACAGGAATGCAAGTTGCATAATGAGAACAAATTCCTGGATCATTTTTACACGATAATTGTGGCAAGCAATTAAATCCATTTCCATAGAATCCCTTTAAAAAAGAAAGCAAATTAAAAAAAAAAAATTCTATTTTCCAAAAAGTGGAAAAATAGTAAAATTTTGTCTAATAATTATACAAACAGATAAACAAATGCAGGCGTAATTTGAAGCGGTTTGATTATATCCACAAACGGCATTTTTTCCACAATTATTAACGACATTACAATTTATATGTTCCTCAACGCAATGATGAATTCCATCTCCACGATAACCATTTGCGCATACACATTTAAAACTTCCATCATGTGATGCCGAACATTGTGCATTAATATGACAAAGTGCAGAATTTATCGAACAATCCGAAATTACACATTGTGTATCAATTTTATGATAACCATCAACGCAAGAACATTCGTAACGTGAATTTAGTCGATTGTATTCACATCTTTCGTTGTTTCCACAATCTGGATGATCATCACATTCAACTATACCTACACCTGAAAAAAAAAGAAATTAATTTTCCCCTTTTTTTTGTAATTAATATTTATTAAGTCTCTAAGAAATAAAAATTAATTTTCGATAAAATAAAAAAAAAAAAACCAATTTCTCTGCAGTCGGTGCCATCGCCTTTATATCCTGGATTACAAACGCATCTACTGATGGAATCTTCATTTCGGCATGATGCATTAGGATCACAAATATCGACATCAAAGCAGGAGACTTCTGTTTTAAGAAGTAGTGCATAATTTTTTTTTTTTTTGACGAATTGAAATGAAAAAAGAGAAATGATGCAAATTTTAGAAAATTCATTCCACGTACCTCTTTTGGTGCATTCAATTCCATCGCCATCATATTCGACATTACATTGACAACTGTATTCCGATGTTATTGTATCGTAGACACAAGATGCATAAGGATGACATCTATTCATCACGTTGCATGGTACTGAACACAAGCATGTGCAAATTTTAATTATGTTTTCTTTTTTAAATAAATTTTTTCACCAAAAACCGAATTAAAAAAAAAAATGAATTCAATTTCTTACTCAAGTTTCTTTAGAGGAAAAAAAAGAAAAAAAATATTGTAAAAATGAATATAAAATCGCAAATAGAGAAAAAAAAAATTCGAAACAAGAGGAAAAAATTAAAATAAAAAAAAACTTTTTTTCCAATACGTGAACATGCAAAAGCTAATAATGCTTATTTTTTTTGTTTTAATAAGCGAGAAAGCATTTTTTAAAAAAAGCCAGGCAGGAAAATTCGTACAATGAAATCCAGAAGGACCTTTTGTCATCAAGTTGTATCCTTCTTTGGGAACGCAAACATCTTCAAGTTCCTCATAATCGTATCCCATGGGACATACGCAGTATTCTTCGTAGCATGCCGGAAGCGGACGTGACAATACTAAAAATGCATCAGGATGCAGCATCCAATGTTAATTGTTAAAAAAATTATAATAATTTCTTTTCTTCTCGACCAAATTAAATTAAAATTTTACTTTAATAAATTAAATAATTAAAATTTAATAATTAATAATTAATAATTAGCACATTCAATTATTGAAAAAATAATTTTTCTATCCATTTTTAAATTCCCATGGCTGGCGATAAAAAAAAAAATAAATAAAATTTTCACATGCTTACCGTCTTGATTGTCGTCCGTTTGTCTAATACAATCATTTTCATGATAAGCCCAACCCAATGGACACATACAAACTCCAAGATTACAATGTGGATTTGGTTTATCGTTATTTTCCCCCTCTGGATAACAATCGTATCCATTACCTGTGATTTAAATTTAAATTAATAAAAATAAAATAAAGGTATGTAAATTATAGAAAAATTATTTTTATACCTGTATAACCAGGTTGACAGGTACAGACATGAATTTGTCTATTTCCATCGTAACTACAAAGACCATATGGAGAACAATTGTTTTCAACATTACAAGGAGTTGCTGAAAATAATTATTATAATATTTACTTTATTGATAAAATTATCTATTTTAATAAACTTCGTTAAAATTAACTAAAATTTATATTAAATTAATTGTGGACAATAATTTCAAGAGTTAATTAAAACCAGTGACTCACTTTGCGAAACTGGAGAGCAAACTTGGTCTACAGTTTCATATCCAGGAAGGCAGGTGCATATTGGAAGACCTCCAATCATCTGACATTCCTCATTTTCCAGACAACGAGTCTCATCGCAAGTTGGTATTTCTAAATTAATTAAAAATAAAAAATAAAATACCACATACAGAAATAAATTAATATTTAAATATTTTAAAGAAAATAAAACATAAATAAAACTTATATATATAATTAAACTAAATTATCAAATTTTTGATTGAATTTTATTAATAAATAATTAATTTTAATTCTCTTGTAATATTACTATAGAATTATTTTTTTATTGAGGAATTAATAAAATGAATTTAATATCTAAAAAAATAGTTATTTAAAATAAAATACTTATTAACTAATTAAATTTAATTAAAATAAAAATATCGACTAAAACGTCTTTTTTTTGGAATTTAAATCGACTTTTTTGCGTCTTAAAATTGTTCCAAGACTTAAAATTATAAAAAAATTAAATTTATCTAAATTCCACTATGAATTATCTCACTATCGCAAATTCGTCCATCTCCTTGATAACCAGATTTGCAATTACACGTGTGGCTTCCTTCATTGTTAATACAATAGGCATCGGGAGAGCAAACATGATTACCAGCTGTACATTCATTAATATCGACACAAGTCGCAGAATTGTCCTCTTTATAAAGATATTGAAATCTGAAAATAATAAATAACAGAAAAAAAGAAAATTTAATTTCCCTTTTATAACGAAAACCAAAAATTATATAATACAATTTTTTTTTTTTTACCCTGGATTGCAGACACATTTAAAATCATCACCATCAACAATACACGAACTATGTTCACTGCATGTACTTCTTCCTTGTATACAAGGATCCTCTTCTTCAAGTGGTGCAATTTTTGAATTCATTGCATAACGAATTATTCCCTCTCTTCCCTCATATGTAATTACACCTCTTGAGAATTTTAATCTTGTTGTTTCTTGTTCCGCTTGCGATGCATATAAACATTCGGAATAAGTAAATATTTGATCTAATGTATATTTATAATCGCCGGCAATGCCAATTAATTTGTAAATTTTCTCCGAATTCGAACGTATTGAACCTGAATTCACACGTGTTAAAAGTTCATCATAATCGGTAAATTCAATTCGTGCATCATTCTCCAATTGTGGAATTGTACCCTTTACTTCAACATTTACTTTCAATTGACCAAATACATCCTGTCCCATAAAATAACTTCGAATTGTCACCTCATGTCCCGATGAGGAAAATCGTAATTCTGCCGTATGATTAAATACTCCACCTGTGAGGGGGAAAAAAATTTTTCAAAATAAATTCAAGGACTAAAATAATTTTTTTTTTCTTTCAAGGCATATAATTTGAATAATTTTAATTGAAGAAAAAAAAAAAATTCATGCCTACAAAATATCGTTTGCATATATATTAATCTCGGATTAAATTTTCTCCAAATCTATAGTGAAAAATTGAAGACAAACCGGTAAGTTGAAATCCGTTTTTAGTTTCTCCAATTGGTTTGGCGAAGAGCCATCCAATAACGCTGCCTAAATTGCTAAGTAGTTGGAAGCTGGAACCAATGGCTTCCGGTACTCTCGATATAGCTGTGTATGTTCTTCCGTCCTTGGTTTGAACGTAACATTGAAGATCTTTATCCTCAAAACTTTCGCCATTAATAGTTCCCGACATTCTGCCAATCACTCTCAATGGTATATCTAAAAAATTTCCAAATTTTTCTCTTATCAAAAACAAAAAAAAAAAAATGTTTCCAAAATAATTTGAGATTAAAAATTGAAAAACAATTTAAAAAAGAAAAATATATACAAAGGAGAAATAAAATTTTTTCTGCTATAAATTTTGTTTGAAAAGAATTTCTCTTTTTTTTTTTTTCTTAAGGGGTCGCTTAATACATCTGAGAGCAAAGGATTTTCTCAAAGGGTCTTACGACTCATTTCATACATGATGCATGGTCGTTTTGTACATAAATGTACAAAGTCGTTATATATCCTGGGCGTATCGTTAAACTATGAATAGATTTCAAGGGACTTTAGAGTTTACTTTTCTTTTATGATAAAATTTAATTGCACATATCTAAAAGAAAACATTTTTTACTTTCAGAATTCTCATTTTGAGTTCTCTAATTTTTACAATTTAATTGCAATATAAAATAATAGAATTGCAAATTTATAAATAAAAAAAAGAAAATAAATTTGAATACCAATTGGCAAACAGGATTTTCCATTTCCAAAGTGTCCTTGTTTACAGTGACAACAAAATCCACTTTCGTAATCAACGCAATTGGCTTTACTGTGACAACTTGTGGCTCCAATCGAACATGTTTTCTGCTGATTTGACATTGAATCTAGAAAAAGAAAAAAATTAATGTTCTCTAAATTATTGTCAATTTCAATTTATTTACAAAAGTACTTTTTTTTCTCATTGAAAAACAAATTTTTTTTGATTTAATTAAAATTAAAAAAAACCTTCGACATTGTCCGGTTGTTTGAAATTTGCATTATCGCGAAATGGTCCTATTTGAAAAATCCAGTGACCTGGTCTATTGATATTTGATAATCTGCAATAAAAAAAAAATTAAAATTATAATATAAAAATATTTAAATTTAATTTTCTAATAACAGAAGAAAAAAAGAAGAAATACTTGTCGATATTTTGAATTTGATCAGTTCCTGAACCGGTGAGAGTGTAAATTTTTCCTTCACACATAAATCCAGCTTGAGCTTTTGCATCCGGAAGTCCATTAGGATGAGATTCTGCTTGAATCCATTGTATTCCATCTCGTGGATACAAAAATTCAACATAAGAATGTGTTCCATTTGATGAAATTGCCACTTGATATGTATTTGTCTGTGAGATAAATTATTTTTTTTTTCCCCAAAATATTAATTACTTTTTTTAATAATTAAAAAAGAAAAGAAAATAATAATAAAATACAGAAATTAGATACTAGAATTACTTTTACTTTTTATTAAAAAAAGATATTTCTTTTCTGGACCAATTTAAAAACAATATATATATCAAACAGAAAGAAATAAAATCACTAAGAAAAAAAAGGAAATTAAAAATTTCTTTATCATTCTAAATTACTGAATAATTAAATTTACCTTGTCATTTTTCTCATTGAAATATCCAACGTCTAACCAGGTTGCAATAAAAACATGTGTGGGTTGAAATTGAAAAGCATTTTTAAAAGAATTTCGAACCATACCACCGGCTCTTGCAAGGATTTCCGGCGCATTTGTTTCAGTCCAATAAATTGTTCCTGATCCTCGTGTATCCACGTGAGTATAAAGTGGTGCTATCACAGGATCATCCAGTGGAAAAGCAATATTAAAAAACCTTTGCATCGATCTTGCAAACGATAGAACACCATTTCCATTTACCTGACGCAAAAAAAAAAAAAAAATTAATTTCTCTTATTACTATTGTTATTTATTTTCTTTCTTTTCTAGAAATTATTTGCAACTTATTTTTATTTCGATAATTAAAACTAAAATAATAAATTATATGACAAAATTGTTTCTATATTAATTCAAAATATCAACAATGAAGTTAATTAATCATAGCTGCCAATAGAAACATATTCAAGATTATTAACCGATTTAATTAGTAATTTTCTTGTTCATCAGTTGGCAAAACTGGTATAAAGAATTTCTAGCTAAGTTCAGAGTTTACAAGTACCCGGCATTCAATAGACAAAAATGAAAATTTATTACGTAATAGTTATTTTTTCCCCATAGTTATCAAGTTTTAATAAAGTAAGTATTAGTTTTTATTAAATATAAATAATACATACATTTTTATCACTTGATCGTAGATAAAAACCTAACCTATAACATTTTTTATAAAAAAAAAAGTTAGGTTAGGAATTACATTTTCTTTGCTAACAATTTAATTAATAATAATTATTTATTTACTAATAAATTATTATATTTAGTAATTATTACTAACGATATTTCCTTACTATTTACGATAAAATAACATTTTTTTTATTCTAATTTTTTTCTATTAAAAAAATAAAAAATTAGGTCAAATTAATCAAAATATTGAATTGCAGAGTCACGTTAATGTTAATAAGGGGACAAAACAAGTCTAATGTTCCCAAATATATTCTAAAAGGGTCATTGGTCAAATGAGATCGTTTATGCAGGTCTTATTTTTTTTTCGGAATTATTTTTTGTCGCCTTGAAAAAAAATATGAACGAGACACAAAAAAATGTAAATATAAAAATTCATTAATTTTCTTTTTTTTTTTTGTTTAACTAGTACATATATGACAATTAGAAGAAAAATTAAAATTTATTACAAGTATAAACATGGTTCAAAATAAAAAAAGAAAAAAACCGCTTTATAAATTATATTAATTTATTATGCGTTATTCTACTCTTATGTTTCGTAATTTAGACCTTTATAGCAAACAATATAGGTCAATAATTTAAGCAATTGGACCGTGAGAATGAAAAACTTGGGAAAAAGAAATTTTTATTGCCTGGCACTAATTTCCTTTTTTTTGTAAATATGTTATATCACAATTGTTACTATAATTTTTTCGTTATTTTCAATAACATTTTTTTAATAATTAAATTATATTAATAAATTAATAAACAATTAATTAATGAACAATTACATATATTTTCAGATCAAGAGAATTGGAAAATAAATTCAGAATTTATTGAAATTTCTTCAAATGTCTCGATTTTTATTCAGTAAGTAAAATGAATAAAAAAAATAAAATAAACAAAATAAATGGATAATTTCTTTTAAATAATTAATTTTTTTTCAGATCTTAAACTAATATATCACGAATAAGAATCTTTTTTTGTTTTTTGGATGGAAAATATTCTTTCGATATCTCAATTTTTCTTTTGGTGAGTAATTAATAAATTATTGAAAAATAATTAATATTATTATTTTTTTTCGATCTGAAGAAACGAATATTTGACGAATAAATAATATAATTTAATTAAAATTAATTAATTTATTAAAAAGAATTCTTTGGATATTGTTAATTTTTATTTGGTATGATTAACACATCGAAATTATTTTTGAAACACCCAGTATATTATATACTCAAGGGGCAAATAAGTAAGCAACAGAAAATAATAGTGCAAAACAATCAAATTTTTTTCTAATCAACATAAATTTGAATAAATAGACAAAATTTATATTTTTCTATTTAATTTAAAAATAATAAAATTTTGTTATTAATAATTTAAATATAAAAATAAATGTGAAAAAATAGAAATCAATTTTAAGGAAACTTTTTACACACTCAGTATATACATATACGGGGTGATACTTTCTATTTATCAAATAAAGATCAACATAGAATTTTTAATAAAGACAAGACTTTTCTAATTGAAAAATTAATTAATTTTAATAAATAAATTTTTTTCTTATTTCGCAATATTTCAAATTTCTCATTTCTGTAAAATATTATTTACAAATTTATTGAAAGAAACAATAAATCATTGTTTCTGCTTATTATTAAATTTCTTTTTCTTTATCAAATATAATAAAAATTAATAAAAATAATATTAATAATGCAGTTTAATCATAATTAATAAACTGATAATATACTATTTTTTCTGTTGGTAGTTTGTTAAATTAATAATAGTGATAATAATAATAAAAATAATTTATGAACCCTTTATTAATAATCAAAAAAATTGTTTATTAATATATACTTTTAGTAGATAAAAAAGTACTTTATAAAAATATTTTATTCAATTTGAGGTAAGTAATAATGGTTTTGAAAATAATGTACATAAATATATTTTTTTAAAAAATAAATAATAAATGAAGTGAAGTAAAATTAGTAGAGGAACTTTAAATAAATGTTTATTAATTATTAAATTAATGTTTTAATTTTTATCCTATTTTATGAAATATAAACATATTCTATTTTTAATTATTTAATTTATTAATTAATTGATAAATAATAAGCTTTTAAATCGCTTTTGTAAACTTTAATTATTTTTAAATATTAATCAATTAGTTAATAATTAATTAAATTAATAATTTTAATTATAAAATAATAATATTAATTAATAATATGTTTTTTATATTTTTCGTTTTCTTTTTCTAATTTTTTTCCCTATTTTTAATTTTATTTATGTTTATTTATTTTATATATTTATATTTAATTAATAAAAACATTTTTTCAAAATAAAACTATTTTGCATTTGAAATTTGAATTTTTTGTTTATAGTGACATTTTGTTACTATAGGTTGGTAGCAATGTTCAATTGAAAATTTTGTTAAAATTTATTTTATGCTTGCACAAACAAATTTTCGAATTTCTTATTAATGTAAATATTTGTAATTAATTTTAATTCTATTCAAAAATAGATTTTTCTTATAAAAAATGTTTAATATTAACAAAATTTAATAAAATATTACTGTAATTGTTTACCGCCACTTCCCCCCCATTTACTAGTTTCACGTTCCATCGTTCCGTGTTTCACATTCCTTTGTCTATTGCCATATATGGAAATTTCGCAAAAGCGTTTGCCGCCGACAGTTAGTCGATGGCGTTCTTTTGGTTTTCTACTTTTGTCTTCAAGATAAAAAGGTATATTTTGTGGTAATATTTTGTTTTTTATTGTTCCTTTAAAGTGTGAGGAACAATAATTGATAAAATATTTCGAGAAAATTGTTGCCATGTGATCATAATGTATCAAAAAAAGTTGACATGGCAACAGTGTTCGTTACACATTGTTGAGAGATTGTTGGAAAAATGAGACAGTTTTTCCTTTATATCTAATTGATAATTGATGAATTTTCTTTTTTTTTCAGATTCCGCCCATTTTGGTAATCGGCATCGGCATAAATGCTCTCGATGGAAATATTGGCTTACAGTAGAAATACACTCGGTCTTCTTGTATAGGGTTATGATTGCCGATCTTTTCTGAATAGAAAATTTATTGGCGATCATGATCTAGAGAAGGGATCTCCGAGAGTTAATCTGCTGTTTGTTAATTTTCCTGAAAGGCATTCTATGGGAGGCGAACATTTTCAATAATGGTGAGTATATGTTTTATAGGTTATTTTTTTTCGATTTTTGTCAATTTCAAGAATAGGATTAAATTTATTTTTTTAAAAAAGTGAAAAAATAGTAAAATCATTTATTTCGAGAGTATTTTTTTTTTCCAAAAATCTTTGCTATATATATATATATATTTTTGCGATTGATGTGCATGAATTTTTGATTTTTTGTTTCAGTTCCTGCCTGTGATAAACCGATATACCAATTTTGATGTATCTGGTGCGGAAATTAGCATTCAGTTGGTGTATTTTCGGTCTTTTTGTAAGGTTATGTTTGCCGATTTTTTGGAATTCATAATCTAGAGAAGGGATCTCCGAAAGTTAACCTATGCTGTTTGCTAATTTCCCTGTTCTAATTATCATTTTTTGGAGAAAAAAAACATCTTTAATAATGGTGAGTTGGAAATAAATTATTGATAAATTTATCATTTTTTTTTTTTTTGATTATAATTAAAACAAATATGTTAATGAATTTCATTTTTTCCAATTTTATTCTTTTTTTAAATTCTAAATAATATAATATAAATATATAATTATTTTCTAAATATTAAAAATAATTTTATATAAAAATGTTAATTTTATAGGTTAAGTTAATTATTTTATTCTTTTTACAGTGGCGGAAGAAGACAATATTTTTTTTTTCTTTTCAAAGATTAGAATCAGTGCGCGAATTAAAAATTTCAATTTCAAAGTAAACAAAAAAAAAAAGTATTGCTATTAAAATTAAATTGGTTTTTTTTTTTAAATAATTTTTATTTAGAAATTTAAAATCTTTTCGGGAGTGTAAAAAAAATATTTAAATCATAATTTCGTTATTGTTGAAATTGTCAGAGTGTCTATTAAAACGGTAAAATTCGAAAAATATATGTGGATTTTCAATTTAAATGTGAACCAACAAGAAGAAAAAAATTTTTTTTTATTATTATTTTGTAAAATTTAGAAGAATTTTTTTTGCGAATTGTTAATTTAAAAAAATTAACAATTTAAGGAAAATCCACAAAAACGGGGATTTCTTTTTTATTATTTTTCTTTTTTCTAATTTATTAATTATAAATATTTTATTAATTTTTTACAATATATTTAAGAATTTTCTTGTTTTTATTAAATTAAAAGAAAATCGAAATGAAAAATGTGGATTTTCAATTTGAATGCAAAAGGAATTTTTTTGTTTTATTATTTTGTAAAGTTTAGAAGAATTTTTTTTGCGAATTGTTAATTAAAAAAATTAACAATTTAAGGAAAATCCACAAAAACGGGGATTTCTTTTTTATTATTTTTCTTTTTTCTAATTTAGTAATTATAAATATTTTATTAATTTTTTACAATATATTTAAGAATTTTCTTGTTTTTATTAAATTAAAAGAAAATCGAAATGAAAAATGTGGATTTTCAATTTGAATGCAAAAGGAATTTTTTTGTTTTATTATTTTGTAAAGTTTAGAAGAATTTTTTTTGCGAATTGTTAATTTAAAAAAAATTAACAATTTAAGGAAAATCCACAAAAACGGGGATTTCTTTTTTATTATTTTTCTTTTTTCTAATTTATTAATTATAAATATTTTATTATTTTTTTACAATATATTTAACCATTTTCTTGTTTTTATTAAATTAAAAGAAAATCGAAATGGAAAATGTGGATTTTCAATTTGAATGTAAAAGGAATTTTTTTGTTTTATTATTTTGTAAAGTTTAGAAGAATTTTTTTTGCGAATTGTTAATTAAAAAAATTAACAATTTAAGGAAAATCCACAAAAACGGGGATTTCTTTTTTATTATTTTTCTAAATTAATTTTTCTTTTTTCTAATTTATTAATTTTAAATATTTTATTAATTTTTTACAATATATTTAACAATTTTCTTGTTTTTATTAAATTAAATGAAAATCGAAACGAAAAATGTGGATTTTCAATTTGAATGCAAAAGGAATTTTTTTGTTTTATTATTTTGTAAAGTTTAGAAGAATTTTTTTTGCGAATTGTTAATTAAAAAAAAAAAATTAACAATTTAAGGAAAATCCACAAAAACGGGGATTTCTTTTTTATTATTTTTGTAAATTAATTTTTTTTTTTTGTTAATTATTTTATTAGTTCGAAATATTTTTTTTTATTAAATTTTATTAATTCGAAATTTTTTTTTGTTAAATTTATTTAACAATATTTTTTTACAAAAAAATAATAAAATATATTTTAATTTGATATAGGAAAATTTATAGACACTCTGACTTTGTATTTATATTGATTTAAATATTTTTTATATATCGGTTTAGTGATAGACTTTGAAGAGTGGAAGGAATCCCATCATGCATCGTCAACTTCAAATTGAGGTACATTTCAGTATAATTAATGATTTCTTCTTTATTTATTTGAAAAAAAAATCTTACAGTGACAAATTTTTTGAATCAATGAAATTTGAATTTAATTCGTAATTTTAATATAAATTTTTTTTTAACATATATTTTATTGAAATATTTAAAATTATTTATCTATTATTACATATTTAATATTATTTAAATTATTATTTATTTGTTTTTATTATAATATTTCTCAAGTTTTTGTTTTTGAAAAAAATATTTATTTATCGATCATGTTAAAAAAATTTTTTTTTATTTTTGAAATAATTGACTTTTAATAATTTGTCACTGTTTGATTGTTTTTAAAATTTTTTACGTTTTATTTTTGAATTTAATTTAAAATTATTTTTTTTGGGTATTTACCCAAAATGTAGGTATTTAATTTTTTTAAATTGAAATTAATTCTTATTTATTTTAAAAGAAAATTTGCTAATATTTTTATTAGTATTTATTGATTTTGAATTTCAATCAAATTGTTGATTACAACAATTATTAAATTAAATAAAAAAAAAAGAAAATTATAAAATGAGAGGTAATGATAAAAATAATGAAAATTAAATAAGATAATATTGGACACAAAAAATTCTAGAATATTATTCAATAATTTGACCCTTTTATATTTCTTTTTTTTTTTACATAACATCGATGAATTGATAGAGGATAATTTTCCGCTGAATTTCTCTCAACAAATTCGGTCAGTGTTTTGCATTTTGACACCCATTACAATGAGAGTGTTGCTTATCTGAAAAAGGCTATCGAAAGGTTAGAGATCATCAAAGTGTCGTTGATATATGCACATATGATTATGAATGGTCAGAACTGGAGAAAATAGAAAATTAATTTCGTATATATATATATTTGGAAAGGTGTTAAGAGAAAAATTATCTTCAATTTCATCTCAGCAAAAAAAAAGTAGTTCATTTTTGTTCTATTGTGTTAGGTTTATTTTCCATTTTTTCCCATATCGTATTTTCAGACTATTTTTGGTCTTAAAATTATAATATTTTAGTAGATGGACTAATAATAATTATATTTTTAATTATTAATTATTTTGAATTTGATTTATTATTTAATAATTGTGGTGCAAGATACTGTTTAGGTAAAATTAAAAAAGTGGGTTAAAATATTAATTTTCATTGTCATAATCTTTGAGACAAAATAATTATAAAGTGCATCTGTGTATGTATGTGTGTGTGTCAGAGGTGTCAAAAGATATGACGGCTTCAGTTTGGTTAGAAAATTAATTATACTACAAAGTCTGCTTTTGACACTTTTGCATCAACAATGACTAGTCGTTGGTAGTAAATATAATTCCCCTTTTTATTTTTAGAATGAAAATAACATTATGACAATATTGATAAAATGTATTTTATTTACAAATTATGTTCAGTATTATTAAATTTAAAAAATATATTCATTTCCATATCTTGTTTTCATAATTTTGTTAATATTTATACAAAATTTATTGTCATTAGAAAATTTTGCAAATTAATAATTTTAAATTTAAATTGACAAATTTACATATTAAAGGATCAAAATATTTAAATAATTTTATAATCAAATTTTATTCCGAGTTTAGTGGATTAATTTCTTTTTTTTATTAAAAATTTATAGACGCGGAGAAAATATATATATTTTTTTTATTAATATTCAGTATAATTGATAAAATTAATTAATAATAGTTTAGAAAAATTTATATGATTTAATGGAAAAAAAATTCAAATAATCGGTTACTTAACTATTATCAAATAAATATTTACTTCAACGAAATAATTTTTAAAACCAAATAATTAAATTAATTATTATTTGAAGCAAAATAATATTCTTTATTTGAAATAAATACCATCTCAAATACACCGAAAAAAAAAAATTCTTGTATTCAAAGGAAAATTTCTCTTACAGAATCCTCTTGAATTTTATTCTTAAAACAAGAGTATTACTCTTTAAATGAGAATTTTTTCCTCTAATTTCAAGAGGATCGAAACAAAAGGACTATTCTAGAGCATTCAGAAATAATTCAGAATAATCTTTTTAGAATAAAAATAATACTCTTAGAATTTAGAATAATCTTCTATGCCTTATTTTTGAAGGTAAAAGAAATTTTTAAAAGTAATTTTTAAGAAAGTTTAAATAATTTTGAGGTTATGCTATTTAAAATTTTATTTTATTACAATTTTTATTGATTTTAATTTTATTTAAAATTTTTTAAAAATAAATTTTCAAATTTAATGAATTATATATGTTTATTATGTTTTTATTCAAAAAAAAAATTAAAATTAATTTCAATTTATTTATACTCAAATAGATGTAAATCATGGAATAACAAATTTTATTCCTTTTAATTTTATAGATTATATATCTATGACATACAAACTAGATGATTGCACCCAGAAAAATGATTTATTTGAACCAAATAAAATTTATTTTGAGTTAAATAAATGTATATTTGTCTCAGAGCCTACTAACTTATTTATTTGGCGTGAATAAAAATTTTATTTGTCAAAAATAAATTTTTCTTTGGCTAAAATAAATTTTTTATTTTAATGAAATAAAATATATTTGCAACAAATAAATGAGTTAGTATAGGCTCGGAGACAAATATACCATTTCTCTGAGTGTGCATTTTTATTATTTCAGAGTTCTTTTTAAGATGATATTTTCCTCTTAAAATAAGAGTATCCTCTTAAATTAAGAGGAATAATTTTACATGGAGGACAATCCTCTTAAACCTAGAGGACATCCTTTTGCAGCATATACTAGAGGAAAATATGTATTTGAAATAAGAGGAATCCTCTTGAAACAAGAGGATTTTTTTTCGGTGATAATAATTATTTAATACAAATAAATATTTATTTGATAATAGTAATTAATTACCTATTTAAAATAATTTTTTTTCTCTTTAAATTGTAATAAACTATACTAAATATTAATATAAAATTTAATTAATTTGATTTAATTATTAATTAACAGGGTGTCTAACGGTCAGGGAATTTTGTTGGTCAGGGAAATGTCATGGAAAAGTCAGGGAATTTCAAAAAATTTCATTCAAAGTCAGGGAAATTTCTGTAAATTTCTGCAAAAATAAAAATTTTTTAATTTAAAAAAACTTTAATGGTTTTTATTACCATTTGTTACTACCATTAGAAATTAATTTATTGTTAAATATGTCAATAACCATATTTTTGTCCAAAAAAGCAGAAATAAAGTTATTAAAAAGTCAGGGAAAAATAAAAAAAAATGTCAGGGAAAAGTCAGGTAATTTTTTTCTCAATTCTTGTTAGACACCCTGATTAAATATTATAATGAAAGTTAAATAAAATATTAATTAAATTAAATTTTAAATAAAACTCCCAGTGTAAAAATAGTAGAATTTCACCTAAAGATATATATTTTATTGGCGTTTATTTGAGACAAATAAAATTTAAATATGAAGTAAATAAAAATATATTTGTTTTAAATAAAAAAAATTATTTAGCACAAATAAAATTTTATTTAGCGCAAATAAAATTTTTATTTAATTCAAATAAAATTTATTTGTCTCTGAGACAAATATATATATCTTTTATCTGGGTTTTATATCATATTTTATAAATTAAATTAATTCAATAGAATATTCCAGCTTGTTATTAAACAAAAAAAAAAAAAAATTTTTTTCAATTATAAATTGAATGGAATAATATTTCTTTATTAAAATTGAATATTAAAATGAAGGAATGTCTCGTTTTCATTAAAAGAATTAGATGTAAAAATATGTGTGTGAAGTGATTGAGAGCCCTTTTCGTTTGAAAAGCTTAATTAAGCTTGACAGCAATTTGATTGAGTTGCCCACGCGCTTAAAAGATTGAGTCGGTGAAGGTTCACCGCACGTATGTAATTTAGAGTGGATTTTATTAAAAGGAACAATAACCAATGATAATATCGTCACCGATTTTGTCGATGGTTGAATTTTGTGTAGATGATGATGGTGATGATGATGATGATTATAATGATAATATGAGAAAATGGGGAACGCGCTCGTTTGTTCGCGCGCGACGTGAGTTTAAATGCAATCTTGTATAATCGGTCGCAATCATTTTTGATGACCAGAACCATTCGCGAGATAACTGAGGAAAAAGAGATGATTGTCGTGTAGGCAGAATTTCTAAGTAGACTGACGGCTAGCCTTACCCCCCTTATCATTGTATCTGTGTCAATCAATTTAATCATGACCTCGTCATTTTTGCATGCGACTTTTGTCCACTTTTCATCAATGATTTCATCTTTTATCATTTTGCATCTGTCCTCTTCCAATTGAATTCACATTATCTAATTTTTATTATTTTTGAGCAATTTAAATTCATTTTTAAATTCTTATATAATATAAGGGAAAATTTATTGTTTAAAATTATAGTTGATTTTATGGTAATAAAAACCAAAATGGATTAAAATAAGCAAAATTGGATTAAAATAATAAGCGTTGCAGCTTATTTTAATGCCTTTTAATTTTCTATGATTGAGAACAATGCGGGCAAAGGATTTGAAGAAAATAATTATTATTAAATTTCTATTGAAAAGTATTTTATAATTTTTAATTTACTTTATTACAATTAATGAAAAATAATACAAAATTAATTAATAAATGATTGTGATTAAATAATAATTTCGAAAAAATAAATAAATTATTTAAATCAAAAAAGTAGAATTTGAAAAACAAAAATTGATCAATTAAAATTAATTTAACCCATTAACGAGCGCCAGTACGAAAAATTTACCTTCACTTAGCAGCTGTTATTTTATATGAAAAAATAATTTTAAAAAAATAACTCCACTGAGTTTTTGAAAAAATTGTCCGCCATATTGGATCCGCCATTTTGAATTATTGAAAAGTAACTTCAGATTCGTAACCGGCGACCCCAAAAACCCCCCGAGTAACAAATTTCAGATAAATCCATTGAGTTTTTGAAAAAATTGTCCGCCATATTGGATACGCCATT